TAAAGTTTGATAGGTGGCGGGAAAGAAAATCATTTGGGTAGTATATACTGACATCCAAGTTCAACTAAGGAGAGGCAGAGCACAAGGTCAGAGATGTGGAGGGGCCGTGGGGGGCAGGGATCGAACTGGAGGAAAAGAACTAATTCTCAGGGTCTTCTGAAACCCCTGTGCCTGTCCTTCAAAGCAGTGAACTCCACCTTGGCTGGGTAGTGTGGTGTGTTGGGGCACCATTCTGATATGCCAAGGTGCTGGGTTTGATCTCCAGTCTCAGAGCACATACAGGCATCAACCAGTGAATGCATCAAAAAGTGGAACAAATTGATGTTTCTCTGTCTCTCTTCCTCTCTAATATCAATACATACATCTTTTAAAAAATGAGAATAACGTATCTCCTTGGAGGTCACCCTTGGGGCTGCAGTGATGTGGGCGTAGTTGTAGGTCTACAAGGAGAGAGGGCTGGTGAGGCAGGTCTGAGGAAGATAGATCATCATTGCTTCTGCTGGGAGGCTACTTTGGGTTTTTCAAGCAAAGTTTATACAATTACATTTTAGAACTGAGGTATAGCTCCTACTGGTGTGGCTCAGTGGATTGAGTGCAGGCCTGTGAACCACAATGTCACTGGTTCAATTCCCGGTCAGGGTACATGCCTGGATTGTGGCCAGGTCCCCAGTACGGGTCATGTGAGAGGCAACCATATACTGATGCTTCTTTCCTTCTTTCTCCCGCCTCCCCCTCTCTCTAAACATAAATAATTCTTTTTAAGTTTAGTTTTTTTCCATACGATGGTTCTTAAAAAAATTTTTTTAAAGATTTTATTTATCTTTAGAGGGGAAGGGAAGGAGAGAGGGAGAGAAATATCAACGTATGGTTGCCTCTCATGCGTCCCCTGCTGGGAACTGGCCTGCAACCCAGGGATGTGCCCTGACTGGGAATCGAACCTTGATTCTTTGGTTCTCAGGCCTGCGCTCAATCCACTGAACTATGCCAGCCAGGGCTCCGAAAATAAAAAAAAATTTAAATGGAGGTATAATTTAAATACAGAAAGAGTGCGGATCTTAAACCTATAGTTTAATGAGTTTTGACAAATGTATATACATGTGGAAGCCATGAAACCATGGAACATGTCCAGGTCCCCTTTGCCTGTATCAGGCACCGGGCACTGCCCAGAGGTTGCCCCTGTTTCACTGTCCATCACTATACATTAGTTTTGTCTCTTAATTTTATATAAATGCAATCATACAATATGAATCCTCTTAAATCCGGCTTCTTTTTTTTTTTTATCAGCAGACTGCTTGATATTCCTGAAATTCATCTTTGTTGTATCAACAGTGTTACTTAAAAAAATGGATGTTAGCACTGGATAGCGTGGCTCATTTGGTTGGACTGTTGTCCTATAACCTAAAGGTCAACAGTTTGATTCCTGGTCAGGGTACATGTCCGGGTTTTGAGCTCCATCCTGGGCTGGGGCTCACGTAGGAGGTGGTTGACAGGTGTCACTCTCTCTTTTCCTGTTTCTCTCAAATAAACATCAATGTTTCTCTCTCTTTCCTTTTCCTCTCTCAAATGAGTGTAAAACAAACCTTAAAAAAACAGACTTTATTTTTTAGAGCAGTTTTGGGCTCACAGCCAAATTGAACAGAAGGTAATGAGAATTCCCGCACACACACAGCCTCCCTCACTATTGGTGTCACACACCAAAAGGACACTGGTTACACAGTCAGTGAACCTACACTGACTGACGCATTGTCACGCAAAGTCCAAGGTTCACATGAGGGCTCACTCTTGCTGTCCTACTTGCTATAGGTTTTGACAAATGTAAAATAACATGTGTCCACCACGATACTGGTACATTATTTCCCTGCCCCCAAATCCTCTTCTCACCACACCTAATCTTTTTTTAATTATATTTTATTTATTAAGATTTTATTTATTTATTTTTAGAGAGGGGGCAGGGAGAGAGGGAGAGAAACATCAATGTGTGGTTGCCTCTTGCATGCCTCCTACTGGGGACCGGGCTGCAACCCAGGAATGTGCCCTGACTGGGAATTAAACCACTGACCCTTTGGTTCACAGGCCTGCGCTCAGTCAACTGAGCCACACCAGCCAGAGCTGAATGCCTTTTTACCGTTTCCATATTTTTGCCTTTTTCAGAATGTCATAGTTGGAATCATCCACTTGTTTCTAGAAACATTTGTTTAAATTTTCCTTTCTCCATTAAATTTTTTGAAGAACAAAATCAAAAGGCCAGGTATAAACTTATTTCTTGACTCTGTCTTATCCCACTAATCTACCTGTTTATCATCTTCCCAGTACCACACTAATCTTGGTCACTGCAGCTTCATACAAAGCCCTGAAAGCAGATAATGTAATTCCTAACATGTCTGTCATTCAAACTTGCTTCTAAATCCTCTGTATAGTCACACAAACTTTAGAATCAGCCTGTGTACAAAGCACCTGCTGAGCCCTGGCTGATTCCGGCCTGCAATAGAGTCGCTGGTTCAATTCCCAGTCAGGGCACGTGCCTGGGTTGTGGGCCAGGTCCCTGGTGGGGGGGCACATGAGAGACAACCACACATTGATGTTTCCTCTCCCTTTCCTTCTCCTTCCCGTCCCCTCTAAAAATAAATAAAATCTTTTTAAAAATTGCCTGCTGAGATTATTTTGGATTGTGCCGATCTTATAGACATCCCCTGTTCATAGACTACAAATTACTGCATTTTGCTGTGCATAATAATTATACACCATGGGTATAGGAATACTGTGTATAATGCACACAGAAAAGTGGGTGAGCATTATACACAGCAAACTTTGATAAATGTAGTGAAAATGGTCACACTTCCGCAATTGACCTACAGATTCAGTGCGATCCCTGTCAAAATTCCAACAGCCTTTTTTTCCCCTCTGAATTTTACGAGCTGATCCTAAAGTCCACACAGAAAAGCAAGGGATCCAGGATGTGGAAAACAATGTGAACACATTACAAAACCGGAAGAGTCACACTCCCTGACTTCAAAACTTGCCAGGCAGCTGCAATAATCATGACATGGTGGCAGTGGCCCAAGAATGGACACGGTGACGAACAGAGTAGAACTGAGGGCACAAAAAGAAATGATTCCTGACGAGAGTGCTGAGACTATGTAATGGGAAAGAGTAGTCTTTTCAGTAAGTCACGCTGCGACGAGGCACCCACATGCACAAGGATGGGGAGAGATACTTCCTTCGCCCCTGTGCTCAGGCCTGAATCTCATGTGCTGCCCTGAGAAGGCTGGCGTCCCCTCGCTCTCCGGATATGTCCCCGTCCGGCCGGCTCCCCCATCAGATGGTCCGGCAGCGCTCGACTCATCCATCCTGCACTGAACAGGCTGCTGTCCCTGCTGGGCCTCAGCGCTGCCCAAACAAGCATGTCCTCCTGTGGGACCCAGGGGTCACTCCAGCCTGTTACTCCCTCAGCACAGTTGCAGCGGGTTTTCTGCTCACACTGTGGTCTGAGAAAGTACTTTATAAAGATTTTATTTACTTTTAGACAGAGGGGCAGGGAGGGAGACAGACAGGGAGAGAACCATCAAGGTGCGGTCGCCCTACTGGGGACCCCTGGCCCATAACACTGGCATGCACCCCAACCGGAAACTGAACCAGTGACCCTCTGGTTTGCAGGCCAGCACGCAACCCACTGAGCAACACCAGCGAGGGCAACTTTGTATTACTTCTACTTTTTAGAAATGGCCAAGGTGTATTTTATGGCCCTCGAATGGCCTATCTTGGTGACGGTTCTGTAGGCTCAGGTGCGTTCTGTGTAGTTGGTGTCCACCGGACCCGCGTGATGTTCAGTTTACCTGTCCTTGCTGAGCTCACAGGCCTGACTGTTCTCCCACGTGCCCACTTTCTCCACCAGAGCCCCAAGCACGCTCACCAGAGCTGTTTGAATCTCCCAGTCTGGTAATTCTAACACCTCTGCCCAATATGAGTCTGGTGCTGTGCCTGCTGTTTTTTGTCTTTTGTACACTGTGAATTCCATGTTTGCCATGGCTGGCGTGGCTCAGTGGGTTGAGTGCTGGTCTGTGAATCAAAAGGTCACAGGTTCGATTCCCAGTCAAGGCACATGCCTGGGTTGCATGCTAGGTCCCAAGTTGAGGGTGTGCAAAAGGCAATAACAATGTTTCTCTCCCTCTCCCTTTCTCCCTCCCTTCCAGTCTCTCTAGAAATAAATGATGCACTTAACTGGGTACGAGGACTGAGGTAAACAGGACTTCAGCGTGACCTTTTAGGTGTCGCTGGGTGGGATCTGTGTCTGTTTCACCATCTGCCAGAGCTGTGGGTGTCGGGGGCTGCATTAGGTCATGAGTGATGCATGCTTTGTCCATTGGATGTGATGGGTTTGGTGACATATGAAGATTTTTAGGCCAGAGGAGCTGGGCCACGAGTTTAGAGCGTTGGCGGCTCACGCTGCTGTCCCCAGGCACAGGGCACAGCGGCACTTTCTTCAGACCTGGGGGTAGCTGTGCCGCCCTGAGCATTGGCAGATCACCTCCACGAACCTCCTCCAAGTCCAGCAGGCGCTGCTGTTCCCGGACGCCCCGCGGGCCAGCAGGGCGAGCAGGTCGGCCTCCGAGAACGAGGCGCCCGGGTGCTCAGCTCTGCCGCTGTTTGGGTCAGTGCTTGTTTGTGAAAAATAAATAGTAAATAAGTGCTCAGTCATAAATGCTAGGGACTCACAGAGAGCACACAGAGGAAATGTGAAGAAAATGGAATAGTAAGCATAATTTTAGCCAACAAAAATGGCTCAGAAATGCCCAATGACAGTACAGACCCACAGCTGGTCCTACATCCTATGTCCAGTTGGCCCTTACATTACTGGTATTGGTTGAAGTTATTGTCCATTCTGGAACTTCTCAGGCACATAAAAATACATGTCTCAGATGGGTGAATCTAACACAAGCTTTAGGAAAAGACAGCATGTAAAATTCTATCCAAAAAACCTCTGGGACTGCACAAAAGGAGAATAAAAGTATGTAAAGTGCTTTATTTTTAATACTAACAATTCCATGTACAAAAATGATACAATTCCCATGTAAGGTATCAACACCATAAATGCACAGCTTACAATAGGACACGTCAGTGTGAACGACCTACGTACAGTTTCCATCATGGACATCATTTTGTACACCCCACCCCACACGCTACCCAAAAGCCTCAGAGTCTGGAGGGTAGACAACAGTTTTGAAACGGTTCCTACTTCTCGGCTGCACGTGGTGCAGCCACACACGGGCGGAGGTGAAGTGCGAAGTGTGTATCCCATGGGGACATCTAAGTTTGTTCCATGCCGGCCATGAGGGACAGGGCTAGAGACTCCACTGTGGGAAGAACAAGGGTAGAAAAAAATAGGATGAAGTATTTGCAAATGTCTGAGAAAGGCTTTAATCGATTCAAAACTCACAGGTATTTAAAGACATTTTCTGTTTTTAATTAAAATAGTGATTATTGTTAATTTGTAATGAAGATGATAATCTTCATTTATTAAATACAAATTGAAAAAGTATGATTTACTTCTATTTTGGATCATTTTAATTTTGAAAGCAAACGAACCTGTGCATTTCACTGAAGAAATCACATTTGTTCCCCGCATCATAAAATCTGCAGTCCGTCCCTAACAAGACGCCAAGTTCTGATGGATGCCTGTGTTTCCTCTCCCCCACTCTAACACAGGGCTTTTAAAGACATTCAGCTTCCTTAAGGAGATCTCCATTTGAATATGCAGAAACAGGGAAGAATTTACTCTGAATCTTTCCCCCAAACCACTGCCAAGAGAACACTCAGGCCTTTGTTTCTGCAGATTACGCCTCAACCCACAGACCACCTGCTCCGCCATCTGTCAGTAAGCCTTGGGAGCTTCAAAACTGCTCAGAAAAATCCCCCAGCTTTTGAAAAGGAATAGTTGTAAAAGCTACACATGATAGGAAGATGTGACTAAAATCTGTTCAGCCCTCTGTTTTGTAAATAGTAGTTTCAGCCCTGGCTGGAGTGGCTCAGTGGATTGGGCGTGGGCCTTTGAAACAAAAGGTCGCCAGTTCGATTCCTGGTCAGGGCACATTCCTGGGTTGCAGGGTAGATCCCGGGTTGGGGGTGTGAATGAAGCAACCAACTGATGTTTCTCTCCCTGTCTCCCTCCCTCCCCATCTTTTAGAATAAATAAAATCTTAAAGAATAATAGTAATAACGGTTTCAGGTACCCACTCATATACAAACACTATGCTAGAGAGAAAAATCTTTAGTCTCTGTGTTTTACATCTTCATATTCACTCATCCCAAAGTAATTGTGAAAAAACAAGCAAAGGGTGGCGCAGCTGCGGAGGGGCCTTCCAGCTGTGAAGGGGGAGAAATCCAACCCCTCATGAGACAGCCTTTGTACCGGGAAGCGGAAGAGCAGTGAGACTTTAACGTGTGTACTCACGATGCGGAAAGGACCCTCTACAGACGGCTTTGTTTAAAATGGTGACCAGAAACATGTGGCAGTTTTTAAAATCGGACTCCATTTTCTCTATAGATTCCATCCTAGGAAAGAAGGTACATTTCGGTTTAAGGAAGTGCATATGGTGTTCACAGGTAGGTTACAAAGTATCTCTCGAGTAATTTCAAATGTACCTCAGTTTAATTATTTAGAATACTAAGTATAAAGGCTGTAAAATAAAATATAAGACTTCCTGCCCTACTTTATTTGTTTTGTCCATTGAGGCATTCAATATTTGCATATGCTTATTATATCCCTAGAAAAAGAATCCCAGGCCCTAACTGGTGTGGCTCAGTGGACTGAGTGTTGGCCTGTGAACCAAAGGGTCACCAGTTCGATTCCCAGTCAGGGCACATGCCTGGGTTCCTGGGTTACGGGGCCAGGTCCTACAGCAGGGGGCACGTGAGAGGCAACTACACACTGATGCTTCTCTCCCTCTCCCTCTCCTTCTCCCTCCCTTCCCCTCTATAAAATAAATAGAATCCAAAAAAAGTAACAAAAACTACACATGAATGTAATCTAAGGATATTCTTGCTTGTCCTCATTAAAAGACTTCAGCTGTTTCTTATTTTATGGCTCATAAAAGAATCACGCAATCTCCAATGCTGCCTAGTTCAGTGAAGTGGATTCTTCAATTCTTTCCTTAATCCCAGGTGGCAGACACAAGGCCTGTGGGCCAAATCCCGCCCTCCCCCTTGTTTACCTGTCCCGGCACCCCGTTCCTATCCGGCGCCAGTGCCAAGTTCGCTTAACTGTTAAAAAGTATCTACATGTGTAGAGTCCTAAAATTATATTTGGCCCTTTGAAGGCAACCATGAGGCTGATGTAGCCCCCGGGGAAAATGAGTTTGACACCCCTGCCTTAAATGTAAGTGGTTTGAAGTGTGTCGCCGAGATGAAAAACGCCTCCCAGGAGGAAGCCCATTGAAACACTCACAGCGAGGAGGCCCCACAAGCCACGTACTTACTGCCAGGCCCCCAGCCCCGCCTGCCAACCATCCGCAAACATGAGCGCCAAGTTCAACACCTTCATGATGGCTTCCTTCACAAAGCTGACCTGCAGAGTGAAGCCAGGACAGAACACAGCTCCGCAACCGTGTTTGGACATGGATGCCACACTCTTCTCTAACTCCAATGTCACTGAGAAGGCTCACCAGCTCAGTGGCCGCCTGGCTCTGAGCAACGCACCCTCGGAACCAGGTGCACTCGATGCACCCACTGAGCAGCTGCCGTCTCTTGGGACGGCCACGGAAATTCCCGGGTGAAACGGGGCAAGTGACTCCTGCGGCTGTGAGGGGACTTCACCCCAAGTAGTCACAACCGGGGGGACACACCTCCTGACTGGGCCCCATGTGCAGATATACTGTCCAGCTGCGTTCAAGTGCAGACCAGAGGGAGGGCGGGCTGGCTGCACAGGCCCTACCTGTTTCTCGTATAGAGACTGTCTGGTCATGTGGCCTGAATTTGTAACCTCGTGTGATCTGGACTTTCCTTAAAGAATATTCTACAGAACAGCTCTGGCTGGTGTGGCTCAGTGGACTGAGTGTTGAACTGCAAAGCAAGGGGTCACTGGTTGGATTCCCAGTCAGGGCACGTGCCTGAGTTGCAGGCCAGTTCCCAGCAGGGGGCGCATGAGAGGCAACCACACACTGACGTTTCTCTCCCTCTCTCTCTCCCTTCCCCTCTAAAAATAAGTAAAATCTTTTAAAAAAGGAAAGGGAATATTCTACAGAACAGAAGCTTAGTAAATATAAAATCCCAAAGCAGAGAGACAACCTCGCTTGGCCAGCTTCACTCTTGCCTAAGTGGACAAGTTCACAGGTGACTTCTCACATACCTTTTCTCTCAGCAGACATCGATCATGGATGGTCGACAGATATCTATAGTGAATTTTAATCAACTGATCTAAGTCCTTGGCTTCCTCGATTTGATGCTGAAATTCCAGCCCTGTACTGTGAAGGATCTTGAAGAAAAATGTTAAAAGTTTAATCAGATTTCTTTGTTGAGAACTGTGGGCCCCACACCAAAGTTTGCAGCAAACCCTTCTGCTTCCTGCAATAGTTCTGAGGCAGAAGACAGCATAGGAAGAACTCTGAGCTGCTGTCCCTGGCCAGCATCTAGTGTCCCAGTTGCAAGGAAACACCTTTTACCAATTAGGTAGAATAAATAGTCCACCGAGGCAGGGAGGAGGAGGGAGACAGGTCTCACATGCTAGTTCAGCAGTCCTGAGCCTGGTCTGATCATATTGCCAGGTGTTCCAACATCACAAGAAACACTATGTTAGCAAGAAAGAAGGGAAGTCCTTGAAATTCTATGTAGCATTTCCACCATCTGGGAAAGAAAGCCTTGAAACTAGTGCTTTCATCCCAAGGCCTGAATGTGGGAGAGGGTCCCCGGTGCCCAAAGAAAGAGCCCTTAAAACAACTTTGGTTAGTTGTCTACCTCTGGTCACTGTTTGTTTTACGAGGGAGTCCGTGATGCTTACAGAAGGAGCCCATAAATAACTTTGGAAAGTGCCCCAATTTTAATTAACTGCCTCCTGTCATGTGTTTGTTTTACAACAAGATGAACAAATGGAGTCTGGAGTAGGATAAGCATTCGGGCTAACGGACCCCTACACATACCTACGTTTGGGTAGTCACATTCCCTCAGGAAAGCTGGCACCTGTACCCATTAATCAATATATAACTTTTTTCCTCCTGTCCCACAGACTATGTAAGTCCTCAGAACAAAGGACTTGCCCTCTCTCTCTCTCTCTCGGGAGTTTGGGGCGCTCTTCACGCTCTTGGCTTCTGGGCCACTGGGCCTCTGGCCACCCGGCCTCAGGCTGTCTGGGTGCTGGCCCCCCTGCTCTTCAGCCGCTCTTACTTTTGCTGCCCTGCTTTGCCCTGAAACTTTGCCTCTCACCCCCTACTCTGCCGAGTCTCGTTCCCTTCCAAGGGAACGGGCCACTAATAAACTGATTACACGCTACTAGATTTGCTGATCTGTCATTCTCCACCTGCGTCAGTGAGAAGAACCAGGTCTCTCCCGTCAACTGTTCCATCTGCCAAGCTGATGAAGTACTGTTCTCTCAGGGGGGCCCTTCTATGTGGGGACTTCCAGTTGCCCAACAGACCGTTCCCAGTAGGGAGTGGCAAGTATATTCAACCAGACAGGAAAGTGCACTGATCTTTTTTTTTTTTTTAAATCATCAGGTAGCCCTGGCCGGGTGGCTCAGTTGATAGGGTGCCGTCCCGTCAACCAAAAGGTTGTGGGTTGGATCCCCAGTCAGGGCACGTACCCAGGTTGCAGGTTCAATTCCCAGTTGGGGTGCATGTGAGAGGCAACAGATCTGTTCCTCTCTCTCTCTCTCTCTCTCTCTCCCCCTTCCCCTCTGTCTAAAATCAGTACGTAGGTCCTCAGGTGAGGGTTAAAAAAAACCATCAGTTAAAGGTATGCATTTTTCTTTTCTAAAAAGACTTTGTTTATTTATTTTTAGAGAGAGGGGAAAGGAGGGAGAAAGACAGGGAGAGAAACATCAACGTACAGTTGCCTCTCTTGCGTCTCCAACTGAGGACCTGGCCTGCAACCCAGGCCTGTGCCCGGACTGGGAATCAAACTGACAACCCTTTGGTTCTCAGCCTGTGCTCAATCCATTGAGCTACATCAGACAGGGCTGAAGGTACACATTTTTCTAAGTTGCACTGTTTACACAAAGGCAGGCAAAAGTAGGTTTACAGTTGTGAGTACAGAAAACAGAATTTATCCTTGTTATTACTTATCAATTACTGTATCATTTATTTGTATTACGACTGCAAACCTACTTTTGCCCACCCTGCACACCCGCAACCCCTACCACTGACTCTCAACACTGACCGAAGGGTTAGGGCTGCAGTCCGAGCACCACTGACGTGGCCCTGAGGGGCAGAAGGCAGCAGGTCTAAGAGGCTGGCTGGCAAGGCTCACGTCACGGGAACAAAACGGGTGTTAGAACTTACAGGCCAGACGACCAGAAATGTCTCTGGCAACCACTTTAAACCCCAAAAGGAGTTCTAGCAATATGGGCGCCGTGCAAACGGTGGGAGCCTCTCAGGACATCCTCTCGAACTGGCTCGAAGATGTGGAAGAAAAATGTACTTTGTAATGACTTACTTTTTGTTTTAAAGAAAATAAGCACACAATCTGCCTGTATCTTCCTCCGGACAAGGCACACCAGCCTGGCAGAGTCTGGCTGTCACTAAAAATTGAAGCCGTTTCCCAGGGGCAGCTGTCACCACTGATCAAAAGTCAGAGGACCACAGAGCAAGTTGGAAGGCAATGCGAAAGAGGGGTTCTGGCCGTCCCATCCCAGGGAGACAGGAGGGACAACAGACTTGGGACACACGTGCCCTGGCAGGTCTAAAACTGCCCCTGACCCCCCCCACTACCCTAGTGGTTTACGATCAAAGTGTGAACATGTGCTATTTCACATCTGCAGCCTAGAGCTACGCCGTGGGCCCCTCCAGGTTTCTGATCTATGACAGTGATGTCCTCTGAGCAGCTGGGTACGAGGCACAAGGACGGACACCAACCCTGGTCATGATATAGTTGTGTAGGCTGTTCACAAAGTGCATGAGCTTCACTCGCAAGAGGAGCATGCGGTGAATCTGCTGTCGCACTGGTTTCCTCTGTGGCCCGCACTGGAGTCCTTCCTGCAGGTGTGGTTTCTCAGCTAGCTCTGCAAGACAGTCAAAGAGTGGCGTGGGCGGCGAGCTCTGCTCTCAGCTGGGGAGGGCGGGGCCCTGCAGCAAGGTCACCACAAGCGCTGCAGGGACCCACCCTTAGCGTCTCTGGAAGGGGGTGCCCTGAAAAGATCCCGTAACACCTGAATGGTCACTCTCATCAAAATGCAAATGCAAAGTCCCAGGAACTTCTCATTAAAAACTGTCACGTAGCCCCTACTGGTGTGGCTCAGTGGGTCGAGCACTGGCCTGCAAACCAAAGGGTCGCTGGTTCAACTCCCAGTCAGGGCACATGCCTGGGTTGTGGGCCAGGTCCATGGGTGGGGTGCATGAGAGGCATCGATTGATATTTCTCTCCCTCTCTTTCTACCTCCCTCCCCAACTCTAAAAATAAATAAAATATTTTAAAAAGAACATTAACTCTGGCTTCTATAAAAATGCTGCTATAAATACACATCATTTTTGTATTTGTACTTGTACATACATAAAAAATGACCAGACCATCAATCTCTTTTTCAGGGCTGAAATTAAACCATACTTTAATTTGAGTTATAATTACATTTCATAATTTAATTTTCAATTATAATCTTACCACCAAATAGCAACACATCCAGACTATACTTTGCCCACTTAATCTGTAGTAAGAGAAGGAACACCTGGTTGTAAATTTTTTGACATTCCGAGCTTATAACAATGTCCACAGGCCATGGGACCTGTGAAAACAAAAACGGAAAATCAGGATAGAGGGGAACCCACTATCTGCACGTCTTCATTGTTTGTTATCCTCACCCTAGCATATGTTTTCATTCCTCTAAAAGAGAGAGGAAACACACACACACATCAATGTGAGAGAGAAATGTCACTCAGTTGCTTCCTGCCTGTGCCCCGACCAGGGATTGAACCCACAACCTAGGTGTGTGCCCTGGGTGGGAATGGAATTCTCAACCTCTCGGTGTACGGGGTAGTGCTCTAACCCACTGAACCAGGCCAGGCAGGGCTTGCACCTTTTAGTTTTAACATCAAACAGTGTTCTTACAAAGTGTATCAGCACATACCTTATAGCTCAGGGTCAGACCATCTAGGATATGAACGGGGAGTTTCTTCTTAGCTGTGTCCACATTTTCAAAAGATATAGAGAGACTAGAAAAAGAAATTTCAATTTCAGTTGGTGAAAACATGCTCGTATAAAAGGGTGTTCCAAAAAAATCATCATTATAGCACTTATTTTATTTTCATTGTATTCCAAAAAAGACACTGTATTTCATAAAAGGAGTGCCAATACTCCCATACAGCCATATTTTCTAGCATATATTCCAGAAATTTGGTTTTGGAAATAAGAAAGGAAAAGTTTTTAAATACTGAGTTTAGCCGTAAAAGAAAAGAGACACCTAACGGCTGTCCATTGATTAGAAAAAAGGAGGAAGGCAGGCAGCTTAATATGGAAACATCCAGGCCATCAACGGGCTCAGAGTGGACCTCTTCTCAGCCCAGGAGCATGTGGGTGATCACAGCGGGTTCTGCTTCTGTAAGAGTGTTGCATTCACGTCCCTAACACTGGTTTAAATGTGACTCTCAATAGAAAGAAGCAAGTGACTCAGCACTTGAGAATGTCCCTGTGTGGGGCACTGCATGGGCACGTGAGGGTCTGATGACCCTGCTCCTCAGGGTCCAGCCAGCACCTTGAGGACCACACAGCATTCAGGGTGTGGGCCGCACCGCCAGAAATTTAACAAGCACGGTTACCTTCCGGGGAGGGAGGAGGCTTGCAGGGACAGAAACAGAAGCGAGATCTCCCTAAAAGAACCTTGGTACCAATGATTTCAACTTCAGAAACGCACAGCTGTTTGCCTAATTGAAAGCAAAATGGCGACAGAGGCGGGGGAGCAGCTAAGGGGTCCTGGAAGAGGACACGAGCTGTCAGAACAGAGCCGGCTCAGGGTCACGTGGGCGCTGGTTCGATCCCACCGAGGCTCAGAGGCAGCAGTGCAGATGCACAGTGAACTCACGGGGGCTGCGGCTGCTACTGTGACTTTGGAACTACTACTTATTTTAGAGCAAATCCAGTACGTTAGGGTAATTTGTTAGTAAAGCTCAAAGGAAAATCAAAGTGGAATTGGTCATCTTTCACAGACACTGAAAATATCAATGTGAGCTTATGCTTTGTTCTGCTCCTCCTATAGATGTCCTAGCTCCGTCCTAGGACAGTGGTGACAACCCAGGGAACCTAGAGATGGTGACAACCCAGGGCTGATGGATCTACTCCAGCACTGGGTGGAAGGCCTCTGAAGCCACCAAACAGCTGTGACAAGTGCTCATAGAAGAGGCACACGGGCCTGGGAAGGATGAGCACAGAACGGGCCTAGATGTTGGACTTGAGAGCCAGGGGCTCCCTGGGGTCACTGGGGTCAAGTGACAGGGTTCCCTCTGGGTCAAAATGGAACAGTCTAAGCAACCAAAAACAAATAACTGTAATAGCTGTGGCTGGTGTGGCTCAGTGGATTGAGCATCAGTCTGCGAACCAAAGGGTTGCTGGTTCGAGTCTCAGTCAGTGCACATGTCTGGGTTGCAGGCCAGGTCCCCAGTAGGGGGTGCACAAGAGGGACCTATACGTTAATGTTTCCCTCCCTTTGTTCCTCCCTTACCCTTTTCTAAAAATAAATAAATCTTTAAAGAAAAAGAACAACTGTAATAGATTAAGACATGTCAAAAATAACAAAACTCATGGGTTTCTACTGATGTTGAACAATATACCCTTCCCTGGAACCCTCTGCAGGTGTGGGACACTAATGTCTTATCATGAAAAGAATCGAGCAGTTACCCTGCTTTTATAACCACACAATTGATGAAACTCTGCTTTTATGGAAGAATCTAAGGTAATAAAAGAAGAAAATGAAACTAAAGGGAATTATTTTATCTACTGCTAAGCAGCAGACAGTCAGTCACCAGCATGGTTGTGAGGAAAATAAGCCCCGAAGTTGGCACCTGACACATGTTAACTATGATCGTCATTACTTTTGCAGGGGAATGAGAAATAGAGCTAAGCAGGAAGCAAGGGCCCAGAGGGTGGGGGGAAGGTGGGTTATGGCCTCTGTGCTGCAAAAGTGTGGGGGCACCAACTCGCAGAGTTGGCCAGGTGGCTGGGTGGGAAGAAGGGCAGGTGAGCGGCCTGGCTGGGGATAAGCCCATGGAATAGTCTGAAAACCTACAACAGTGCACATCAAGTGAAGCCGCCTACTCGCCACTGCCAAACCTGTGTGGCAGCAGCAGGTGAAGGCCAGCACGGCGGCTGGGGCAGGGCAGGGGCAGGGCAGGGGCAGGGCAGGGGCAGAGCCTGGGGCAGCTCCGACTCCAGCCCCATGAGGTAGGTTAGCAGGGCCCGAGAGCTGCCCAGTTCCGTCTTTTCATCCTGCTTTGCTTGGTGAGCAAGCCACTCAGCTTCCCACTGCCTTGGTTTTCCAATATGTAAATTACATTAGCAAAATTCATGGGGTCAATGTGAAGATTAAATAAGATGATCCACCTAGAAATTAATTGAGGGGGTCCATGGGACAGGGATTATGCTATAACACTGAACATAACAGGTGGCTTCCACCTGGCTGGTGTAGCTCAGTGGATTGAGCGAGGGGCTGTGAACCAGAAGGATACCGGTTTAATTCCCAGTCAGGGCACATGCCTGGGTCGAGGGCCAGGTCCCCAGTAGGAGGCACAAGAGAGGCAAACACGCATTGATGTTTCTCTCCCTCTCTTTCTCCCTCCCTTCCCCTCTCTGTAAAAAATAAATAAAAGGTGGCTTCCACATTTTACCGTGAACTGTCTTCGGGATAACGCTGTCCTACTGCCTCTTGGAGCTGGACGTTAAGAAAAGACACGTTTTGCCAGGTTTCCTTCTCTCTTATTTTATCAAAAATCGATGTGTAGAAGTCATACATGGTATCTCCACCTTCCATCAAGAAGAAATTCCTCATGGCCTGCAAGTACTCCACCAACCTGCAAGGAGAGGCAGGAGGCGGCATGAGGCGGACCCCGTCCGTCACAGGCTTCGTGTGCCAGCGTTTGCAGTGACACAGGTTCACCCTCGGCAGTGCTGGCAGCCAGGAACGCTGACGCCTCTTAGGCACCTTGCAATAGAAGTTGTTTTTCCTTAACACAGAAAACTGGTCAGTCAAAAAGTGTGAAGAAAAAAAAAAAAAGAAAATTAAAATCTTTCCATTCATGGTGAATTTTCACTGGTACTATTTGGGGTATTTCTTTCCAGTTTCTTTAATAAAATATAGTCCTCACCATATTATATGCGCTGCTTTTTTAAGCTTTAAGATAAAAATATGTGGGGGAGACTAGGGGGTGGAAGGATTGAGCTAAAAGGAAAAAGGGTTCGTGGACATGGACAACAGTGCAGTGATTTCGGGGGCCAGGGTGGTATAAGGGGACTAAACAGTAATGGAAAAAAGTACAATAAAGATTATTTAGACCTGGCTGGTGTGGCTCAGTAGATTGAGCACGGCCCAGTGAATGAAAGGGTCATTGGTTCGATTCCCAGTCAGGGCACATGCCTGGGTTGCAAACCATGTCCCTAATAAGGGGTGCGTCAGAGGCAACTGCATATTGATGTTTCTCTCCCCTTTTCTCTGAAAATAAATATTTAAAAAAATTAAATTTAAAAAAGAACAACATATGCTATTTACTACTCTGTATAAAGTGTTTGTATTAACTTTACTAAGGTCACACACGGTATGATGTGCGTATGCCATAATTTTTGAGATGCCATAATATAAAGAATTGGTAATTTGCACATTTTCCCATCTGATGGCAAATTTTGTGATGGGCCTTTTTGTGCAACATACTTGTTTTTCTTCTGGGACAGTGTCTCGGAAATAAACAATTAAATTTCACAACAAGGTTAAGAAAACATTAAAGATTAATTGATTCTCTCAAAAGAAAATCATTAACTGCATATCTATTTCCCACTCTTAATAAAAACTGACTAGAAATACAGGTTTTAACATAACCACAGCAGTTCTTGAAGCACAATGAACTGCAGACAACTTCAAAAACGAACCCCCTCAGACCTGTAATCTTTCTTCAGCGTCCGCATGAGGTTTCCGCAGCATTCGAGATACTGCTTGTCAATGTGGGGGTAGAGGCAAGATCTCAGCGTCAATTCGAACGTCTGGCACGTCACAGACTCTGACGACCTATCCACACAGATGTCTCCACCAGCAAACTTCTCGTGAAAGTCACTCTGTTCCAAATACAACCTTTAACATAAAAAAAAAAGTTTTCTTTTAGGAGCAGCCGTCAACAGGATTCTCTGAAATCAAAACTTCAGAGTGCCAAGTTAACTGCTGGTTTTAAAATGACCAACTATTACAAAAAGAGAGAAATCTTTTTTTTAAATATATATTTATTTTTAGAGAGAGGGGAAGGGGAGAAGGAGAGAAACATCAATGTTTCTTCAATGCCCTGCTGAGAATCAAACCGGCAACCCTTTGGTGCGAAGGCCAGCACTCGATCCACTGAGCCACACCAGCCAGGGCAGGAAGAGAGAAATCTGTTTCCTTAAAATATATTTTGAGTGAACTAGCTGTTCAGAGTCACTTCTGGGTCACTTCAGGGTCAAGCACTTTGGCCCTTTCTGGACACTAGGGCCACTGGCAGAGAGTGATGGCCTTCGGTAACAGCAGTGTGTTGGGACTGAGCACCTAAAAGCCTCGAGAGCCAAGACGCATGTTACACACAGGGAGGGTCTGGCTCACTGGGCGAGTCTGACCCCTGTCCAGTGGCCCAGACTCCTTAGAGCATCTTCTGTCCTGAGGCCGCACTCCCCTGGGCCTAGGGCACGTGACAGCCTGGGGGCGTTCGCAGACACGAGGGAGCCCAAAGGACACATCTGAAATAAGTGAACACAGTGTCTTCTTGTGCACCACTCATTCATAAAGTAGGATAGGCTACGAAGGTTTTTATCTTTAAGTGTGAAAGGCCCCCACATGGCAGAAATAAACAGTACTAAATATGGCACAGATTCTCCTATTTCAACCATCAGAAATGCTGCAGCCGGGCCAGGACTACTGTAGCTCATTGGACTGGGTGCCCGCCGATAAGCCAAAGGGTCACTGGTTCAATTCCCAATCAGGGCACATGCCTGGGTTTGAGGCCAGGTCCCCAGTAGGGGGTGCTCCAGAGACATCCACACATTGATATTTCTCTGCCTCTCTTTCTCCTTCCCTTTTCCTCTCTAAAAATAAATAAAATCTCAAAAAAAAAATAGCAGCTGGGGTTCACCTGGCAAAGTTGACAGCCAGCAGCGGGTCGTGAACGTCGTCCAGTTCCGGGTGCCTCTCAGCAATGCACTGCATCTTAATAAGGTTTTCTTTGGTTGCCAGCTGCTCCGTGCGGGACTGTGCGGGGGCATCTTCTCCATGCCTAAGGCGTGACTGTACTGACTCCAGAAAGAGGGTATATAGGCTTTTTCTTTCTGCATCTGAAACATAAGTATGTCAGATTACTTAACATTAAGTAACATTCAGATATAGTATGTGATTTAATCCAAATGTTGCCTGGTATTTTCTCTCTGGAAATACTGTGAGAGCCTATTCCCATATCGTTACTTTCACAATACGGTGCCACTTCACATTTTTACATCCTGTCAGACAACTGCGAAGTTCAGGGTTGAATGTGAAAGTACAACCTAACTTTTTTCTGAATAAGAGAGTACCCTAAGCAGGAAACTTGAAAGTTAAGTTACCATGTACAGTACCTCAGAATTTTATCAGAAAAAACAGTCCCAAGATTGGCCCTGGAAAGCTCATTACATTTTATTATTCCATCAAAAGGGAAATATTCTAAACTAAAATATTATTCTTATGTTTTAAATTTTTATTTATTGATTTTAAAAAGGTGGAAGGGAAAGGGAAAGGGGTGCCGGGAAACATCAGTTTGTTGTTCCACTTGTCTATACGCTCATGGGCTGAGTCTTGTGTGTTTCCTGACCGGGGACCAAACCCATAACCTTGGTGTATCTGGATGATGCTCTAACCAAATGAGCATGCACCTGGGCCGGCTGAAATTATTAACTGGAGAAGATACAAAATAATTAATGTAACACTAAGCTGACTTACAAACAAAACAACCAAGGGTCACATTTATACCTCTCAAACCTTTTTAGTCAATTGATAAAATTTTAAGTACACGATTTAAATAGCATCAAAAAAGACTAGAAATAACATCGAGACTTTCTTGAAATCTATGGTCCAGTTTGAATTGTTCACCAATGAATTCCTGTCTGCCAGGGTTCGTGGTCTTCAAGAATGACATGCTGCAAGACATGCTGGGGAATTATTTTTAAAGGACTAGTCCTGCCCTGCCCTGGCTGGTATAGCTCAGTGAATTGAGCATGGGCCTGTACACCAAAGGGTTGCTGGTTCGATTCCCAGTCAGGGCCCATGCCTGGGTTGTGAGCCAGGTCCCCAGTAGGAGGTGTGTGGAAGGCAGCCACACACTGATTTTTCCCTCTCTTTCTCCTTCCATTCTGTCTCTTAAAAAAAAAAAAAAAGACCAGTCCTCAGGAATCAAGATAAGGAAAATACACGTGGAACTTATTATCACTGCCTTTCAAATACAGTGCTACAAATTTCTTTCTGTCTTTTCCTTAAAGATTTTATGTATTTATTTTTAGAGAGAAGGGAAGGGAGAAAGGAAGAAAAACATCAAACCTTTGCCTCTACCACACCCCCAACTGGGGATGTGGTTCACAACCAGGCATGTGCCCTGAGTGGGAATCGAACCAGCAACCTTCTGGTTAGTAGGCTGGTGTTCACTCCACTGAGCCTCACTGGCCAAAGCAACTGCTAGACATTTCCAAAGAGGACACCCTTTTTTGTATTAGAAGCAGCGTGATCTACTCACTTGATCATGGTGCTCATTTCCATGTAACCAGAAGGCTCTAACAATTTTCAAACTACCGGTGTGGCTCACCTGGGCATAGTCTTGCAAGCCCACCACGGCAGGTTCGATTCCCTGTCAGGGCGTGTGCCTGGGTTGCAGCTTTCATCCCCATTTGGGGCACGTATGAGTGGCAACCAACCAATCGATGTTTCTCTTTCTCCCTCCCTTCCCCTCTCTCTAAAAATGAAAAAACAACAAAACAAACAGAAAACTAAAGAATCGTGCTGCACGTCGGATGACAAGAGCGAAGACAGCAGCAGAACACCCCCGGCCGCAAGAGGTGCACGGAAGGGCCCACCTCTGGCCGTGGCCCGGCCCGCAGTGCCGTCCCCGGCTCGCAGGTGCTTCAGCAGCTGCATGGACTTGCCGGCCATGATGATGTGCTTCAGGACGGGCCTGAGGAAGGACACCATGGTGTGCTGCCGGCTGGAGGGCCCCTGCTCACTGCCGGAGCTCGCGCTGGCATTGTCGCTCATTTTCTCTTCGTTTTCTGTCTTTTCTGATACACTGTAGAGCGTGTAGGTTGCGTACCAGAAGTCTCTGTGATTTACTGGAACATTTTTGTTTCTGCAGACATTCAAAAGAATGTTAAATGCTCATTATTCTTCCAAAAGAACAGGATGTGTATTCTAGCTTAGCCAAGTGAGACCCAGACATTCCCAGACACAGTCACTTCAGTTATTGCTAAAACGAAGCAACATCTGTGCAAAATGGGAGAGTTTATCTGGCTTCAGCTTAACACGAAAACGTGGATAAATACTCTGAATGGCTGAGACAAAAATCTAACTAAGTAGAAAGTTGCCTGAATTGGAATTAAACAAAATATGATTAACTTGTTTATCTCCCATGAGAGTAATCTCCAGATTTCCCCCCAACCCTCCACATAAAATTATTTTTTTAGAGAGAGGGGAAGGGAGGGAGAAAGAGAGGAAGAGAAACGTCAATGTGTGGTTGCCTTTCATGCACCCCCCTTACTGGAGACCTGGCCCACAATCCAGGCATGTGCCCTGACTGGGAATCGAACCACTGACCCTTTGGTTCGATGGCCAGCGCTCAATCCAGTGAGCCACACCAGCCAGGGTCCACGTACATTGTTAACAGGACTGCTTTGAGTAATGAAATGATAGACACTTCTCACCATGTAAGAACAATGAGAGAGATGAAACAGGACAGATTGAAAGACAAAAGCTGGACTGGGGGAAAGGCTGCCTCTTATATCTGAGCTCTGGAAACAGGGCCACCTTTCCAGAGGTCGGAGGGGTCAGCACGCCCTTCTCCTCTCAAGGGAAATGAACAGCTGTCCATAAAACCACACCCCCACACAGAGCACCCAACTTCACACAGAGTTGAGATACAGATTCTATGATTGTATTCAGAAAAATCAATTAACTTAAGGGCAAGAAAAAAGTAGCATGCTGGCTCCTGTGGTCAGTAGCTGGAATGTCATCCCACACACCACAAGGTCCAGGGCTCAATTCCTGGGTAGGGCACATGTCTAGATTCCAGGTTTGGTCCTGGTCGGGGTGCATAGCCACTCAATGTTTCTTTCTCACATCGATGTGTGTGTGTGTGTGTCTCTCTCTCCCCTGCCCACCCCTTCTGCTCTCTCAAATCAATTAACATAACTCTGGCTGGTGTAGCTCAGTGGATTGAGAGCAGGCCTGCAAACCAAAGGATCATGGTTTGATTCCCAGTCAGGGCACAGGCCTAGGTTGCAGGCCAGTTCCCAGCGGGGGATACAAGAGAGGCAACCATACACTGATATTTCTCTCCTTCTCTCCTTCCCTTTCCCTCTAAAGATAAATAAATAAATAAATCATAAAAAAATAAAACCAATGAATATATCCTCAGGTGAGGATTAAAAAGAAAAAAATCTAGAGCAGCTAATTTAGAGAAATAAATGCATTAGAGGCCTCTTCACTAATGTTTTCATCCTTGTGTCTGACGGATGCTCTGCCCCGGAATGACTGGAGCGGCTGGTCCCTGGTCGTTGCGGCGCTCGCTCCCTGGGAAGCGCTGGGTGCTCCGCTAGGCCAGGCCCACACAGATACACTCCCATCTGAGAGGCAGCCTGCAGAGCTAAGCGGTGAACTGACACAATGGCAGGAGGAAGGCGTTTTGGGGCTGCGCCCAGACCTGCCCTTTGGCAACCACAGAGCTCTCCTGGCCAGACTGCTCTCCCTCAGTACTGCCTGAACCGAATGATCGCGCCTGAATGGAGCGAACGCGCCCCAGGTGGCCCGTGCTTTGTGCGGCTGCGGTCACCTCTGGATGATGAACTCCCGCGCGCAGTCGCCCAGGTGGCCATGCGCGATCCACTCGTCCACGATCTGCAGGTAGGGCCGCACGGTCTCCACCCAGAGAGAGAAGAGCAGGGAGACCTGCGGGGACACACGCACAGGGCACTCTCAGGGCGCCCTCATCTTGGCGTGAGACGAGGCTAACGCGCTTCTGAGACGCCTTCTAAAAAGTGACCAGGTTTCTGCTTTTTGAAATAAAATAAGGAATTAAAACCCCACACCGTGAGTTAGTTTTAAGATCCTTGTGAAGAACTCGCCTACTCAGGAGATGAGCACATGCCTGTAGCCCATACTCGGACCCCCATGAATGATGGTTACCCAGGGACAACAGGGACGCGGTTTTCCGATCTAAATGAGGCAGCGAGCAAGGTTTCCATAAGGAATGAGGACATGGCTCCATTCTAGTGTCCCTCCCAGTAGGAAATCACTCCATGGCTAAAGGAAACCGACCTCTTCTACATGGAGCCACAGGACAAAAATGGTGAGAAAACAATATACGCCAACAAACTGGGAAACACCTAAAACGCATGCCCAGACAAACCTGCAGCTTTCTAGATTCTAGTCTCTAGTGAGCGCTGTGTTTTGTTAAATTCTGATAAAAAGTACGTAACATAAATATGCTCTCCGCCGTTTTTAAGTGTACAGTTTAATCAAGTTAAGTATATTCACTGTTGTGAGAACAGATCCCCAGAACATTTTGACGCTTAAAACCGCAACTCTTGCCCTGGCTGGTGTGGCTCAGTGGATTGAGTGGTGGCCTGTGAACCAAAGGGTCACCGGTCTGATTCCCAGTCAGGGCACATGTCTGGGTTGTGGGCCAGGTCCCCAGTAGGGGGCATAAGAGAGGCAGCCACACATTGATGTTTCTCTCCCTCTTTCTCCCTCCCTTCCCCTCTGTCTAAAAATAAATAAAATCTGAAAAGAACAAAACAAACTTAGAAGCTAATTTCAAAACTCTGCACAAGTGTCAGACACGCCATGACTTAAGTACTGTTTCTAGAAAGAGCTGGGACAGCTGTGCCCCACTGCTCTAGCGGCACAGAAGGGAGCCACACACTTGAGACCAGATGAAGGGCCACGTACCGTTTGCTCAGAGGCTTCCCCCACGTTGTCATACTCGAGAATGGCCTTGTACAGGGTGTTAAGCAGGTGAGACGCCCGAACGACGTTCCGCGTGTCTGGCGGGACCTCGGCTATCCCGGTGCTGAAGACTCTGTGCAGAACCTTCAGCTGCCCCAGTCGGGGCGACAGCTTGTCCACCACGATGGCAAGAGTTACTGTGGTGTCTGTGAGGGTCAAAGGTCACACTCATTAACCAGGAAAACCATGCAGTCAGATACCACAGAGATGCTCAACCACGAGGGAGGCCAGAGCCGACAGGAGGGGCTGCATTTTCCTCTCCTGTTGCACAGGTTCATGTCCCCAAAGAAAGTACTTTCTAAGGGGAAAAAAAACAAACTCCCAGAAAAACAATGTATAAACGGGCTGACAGGGAAGGAAACACAAGTAATTCTTAGACAGAAAGACAGTCAACCTCACTTGTAACTGAAGAATACAAATTAAAACTACCGGACAAAAGAAATAAATCCCAGAACACAGTGGGGCTGCTGTCTCAGTGGGGGAGGCTGAAGGGGGTGGCTACAAAGGAGCGTCAAGAGCCAGCTCCGACTCCTGAACGTGGAGGGGGCTGTGGGAATCAAACAGTGGACTACACGTCACAGAACGACACACACATCGTAGTCCCCACTCCCCGAAGAAAAGCGAGTGCCTGCAAAGCGGTGACACCCGCAGCAGGTCTGCAGGCTCCTCAGTGTGTCGTGCCGGGGCAGGTCCCTGGTTCTGATAACAGACTGTAGTGACGTGTGGGGTCACCCCCGGGGGAAGTCAGGTAAGTCCAGTGATGGGCACCCAGGACCAGGCGCTACTTTGAGCAACAGCTGCAACCAGAGCAGAGTGGAAGACCAGCACTGGGCCGCCAGTTCACACCCGTCACACTGGTGAGGACCACAGGTTCAGTTAGGTGCCGCCTGCAAGGGCAGCAAGTCGCTCAGTGGCTCCTGTCAAACAATGTGGCAGGAGGCCATCGCCTCTGTCCAGCACTCCCTCGCCTTTTTTTAAATCAAAGATTTAATTTATTTATGTTTGGAGATAAGGGAAGGGAGGAAGAGAGGAAGAAAAACATCAGTGTGTGGTTGCCTCTCACACGCCCCCTACTGGGGCCCTGGCCTGCAATCCCGCCAGGTGCCCTGACCAGGGATCAAATCAGCGACCGACCGTTTGGTTGGCAGGCCAGCACCCAATCCACTGAGCCACACCAGCCAGAGCAGTGGTGCCCTGAAGAACTTGCACCACAGCCAGCTCGCTGCCCGAGTACAACAAATGACACAGCAGTGGTTACCACTCCGGTGCTGACAGCAACAGCAAAGGCTCAGAAGCAACCTGAGTGTCCCCCAGGGAACTGGTCTGTGACACATCCACACAACAAAACAATGAGTTTGTGAAAAAGAATGAAGAGGCTCTTAATATACTCATAAGGTAATGATCCTCAAAATTTAAATGAAAATATGATTTGAAGGGAGCAGAGAACAGACTTCCAGTTCTGCGCACATGAAAATGCACCCACTGCATTGTCTAAATTATTTCTGGCCTGGTGAGTATGGCTCAGTGGCTTGAGTGACAGCCTGCAAACCAAAAGGTCATGGGTTGGAGTCCCGGTCAGGGCACATGTTTCAGTTATATGACAGGTCCCCAGTAGGGGGCACACAAGAGACAACCACGCATTGATATTTCTCCTCCCTCCCTTCCCCTCTCTCTAAAAATAAATGAATAAAATCTTTAAAAAAATTATTTCCAGGAGGGTACATAAGCGACTACAACTTGGTTCCCTCTGAGGAGAGGAAGTGAGTTCTTGCCTGAAGAACTGGAGTAGGAGGAAAAATTTTATTTTTTCCTCACGGGAGGACATTCTTACTGATGTTACAGAGAGGCGAAGGAAGGGAGGGAGGGAGACAGAGACAGAAACATCAGTGTGAGACAGAAACATCAATCGGCTGCCTCCTGCACGCGCCCTGACTGGAACTGAAATGTGACTGAACCAGAACCTAGACATGTGTTCTGACTGAGAATTGAACCTGCAACCCTGCGGCCTATGAGACAAGGCTCTTAACTGAGTCACACCTGCAATTGTAGAAAAATTATCACTGTCTTTCGTTACTGTTTGGACCTCTAATAATATGTATGACTTAAAATACAGATTTAAAATAATTTTAGCCCCGGCCAGTGTGGCTCAGTCGGTTCGAGCCCTGTACTGTGCACCAAAAGGTTGCAGGCACATACCTAGGTTCTGTCCATACAGCACGGGCATGTATGGAAGGCAACCAACTGATGTTTCTCTCTCTCTCCTCTCTCTCTCTTTAAAAGCAAAGGAAAAATGTCCTTGGGTAATGACAAAAAAGAATAATAATTTAAAAAATAAATACATTCATGACAGTTACTTCTTTGGCATGAAATTTTCGAAACTTCCATCAATTAATAAACTTCAATGGCATTCAAAGTGTGAGCTGTGTGTCTTATGAGTAAAAGTGAAGAGCATTTAAATACCATTATTGATGATGCACTTCTCAATTTCTGTGAGTTCTTCTTTGAAAGTAATGAAGTATTTGTAGAGGGCCCACATGAAAGCCTGGTAGGTTCGGAAGGGGGCTTCCGTGAGCTTCTTGTGGCCATTCCCGTTCCCAGGCAGCGAGCTCGCGGAGCCGTGGCCCATGACCTCGTCGATGAACTCCTGGAGCTGGAACACGACCTGCCCGTAAACCGCCATCTGCTCCAGCACCGACCGCAGACAGCTCTGCGGCCGGTCATGGGACGGAAACGAAACATGGCATTATTTCAAGCCAGCCTCTGCGAGTTTCAAATTTATATCCCCTCGCTGTAAAATAGCTCCTTTGTAACAGTTCTGAACAGTATGCTTACTTGACAAAGTAATAAGACAAATACTTAGTTTTAGATCCAAAAGGTAGTGTGAACGTTAATATCTACAGAATATGGAATTGAGGCTTTTACTTTTTTATTTGATTGTAATAACCTCATTTTTTTCTTGTATTTTTTCAAGGCTTATACTTTTTAAAGCTACATTTCAGATAAATGTACTATATGCGAAAAATTTACAGCACACAGCTTTCCCAATATATAATGACAAATAAAAAGAAGAAAACACAAATTTAAATTAAACATAACATTACAACAACACTAAAGAATTCTCTAAGCACTGTTAAGATACACAAATTAATTTTGCCTTTTGGATCTTAAGATATATTTGGTAGTTTTAATATTGAAAAATGTTCTAAAGTTATGCATGTACTGTTTTCACAAATCCCATTATTTAATTATCATTTACACAGTTAACTTACATGGGTCAAATGGGTGACTGTAATATCGTTCCTCACGGTTACCTTCCCATCTATCAACTGAAAGATAAAGAGCTTTTTGACTCCTGAGAGTAACCTGAAATGAAATAAGAAATTTAAATGTACTTTAAGTACAGAAAAATGTTTGCTGGAGTAATGATTAAAAAAAATTTTTTTTAAATCTTATTTACTTATCTTTAGAGGGGAAGGGAAGGAGAGAAATATCAATGTATGGTTGCCTCTTCCGTGTCCCTGCTGGGAACTGGTCTGCAACCCAGGCATGCGTTCTGACTGGGAATCGAACCGCAATCCTCAGGTTTGAAGCCCCAAGCTCAATCCACGAGCTACACCAGCCACGGCTGATTAAGAATTTTTAATAAAAGACTCAGACTTCAGCAGAGCAGAGAAGTCAGGTAACTAGAAAACTGAAGACATCACACTCTTCATCTGATTACTTTAACACTCAAGACATTTCAGTATCATCTCAGAGTGAAGTTCAAACGGCATTGTCAAAGCATTCCCTCCCACAAGAGGTGGTCGAACAGACCTTCCTGGTTTTAAGAATTTCAATATTAACCCTGGCTGGTGTGGCTCAGTGGACTGAGTGCCAGCCTGGAAACCAAAGGGTTGTTGGTTTGATTCCCAGTCAGGGCACATTCCTGGGTTGTGGGCCAGGTCCCCAGCAGGGGGCGTGGGAGAGGCAACCACACATTGATGTTTCTCTCCCTCTCTTCCCCTCTCTCTCAAAATAAATAGGTAAAAATCTTTTAAAAATATTATCTTAAAAAAAAAAAAAAGAATGCCAACATTACACTTCCGGGCAGAGGGGACCGGAACCAGGAGCTCTGAGTGACAGCTCAATGGGTGGCACTGCTCACTGTCCTTCTGTGGGAACACACTCTCATGTCTTAGCTTCCTGGTTCCCAGGGCCAGGGTGCAGGCTGACTGCCCCTGGGACGCTCTGCCTATTACAAGCAGCAGGCAGCACACAATGAGCCTTGTTTCAAACTCAGACATTAGCTAAGTGATGGTGTAATCTAGTTAGACATGTACACAGGGTCCAGCACAAATAATGCCCCTTTTTACTATAAAATCATAAGCATGTCATTCCGTAACATAACAATATCGCACTCAAGCACACCCTAGGACATTTTAGGTGAAATGTTCAAATAAAAACTGTAAATTAGTATACCCATATTATTACCCTACCAACCACCCACAATCAAGCAGGTCTTACTTCTGGCAGACCCTGTATATTAAGCTATTCGAAATGAAAGAGAAGAAACGCATCAAAATCTCAATCACCACGGTGGAAAATCAAGTTTGGGCTTCCTGAGGCCCCAGTGCAATTTGGGTGCCCACTGGGAACTGCTAGGGTTCACACCTAGACACTTTTTTTTTTACACCACTAATAAAGTCATCTATCCCTGCCTGGTGTGGCTCAGTAGATTGAGCACTGGACTGCAAAGCAAAGGGTCACCAGTTCAATTCCCGGTTAGGACACATGCCTGAGTTGCAGGCCCGGTCCCCAGTAGGGGATGCATGAGAGGCACCCACACAGTGATGCTTCTCTCCCTCCTCCTCCTCTCTCTAAAAATAAATCAACCTATACTATTGATCACGTGATAGGACCTACCACAGTGTTTCCCGGATAACCTGTGTCTCAGTAACAAAAACTCTGTCCTCTGGAACGTACAAGGGGTCACTGCTGTACAAGTGTTGGTCCCTATTAGAAAGAAAATATCTAGTGTCAGTGAAAAGGTTTCTCCTTTTGTGAAATCACTTCTCAAAGGAACATGCAATTGAGTGGTAATTGACCCAGCACTCAGTAAGCCAGTGAGCACAGCTCCTGCTCTCAATGCCCTGCCCTACTCATTTTCCCAAGTCAACCAAAAGATTCCGAGTGATGGCACTGCTGTGTTTATTGCTGGTTGAGGTGAACACTTAAACTATGTATCTTTTTCTTTTTGCAAAAATGGCAATAGTATTTTTACAGTAAGTACACTGAAATGGAGATCAACTAAATGGCCTTATAGCAATCCAATACCTTTGAAAATCAAAAGACAGCTTACAATTAAAACAAGAATTTCCTTTTAAAAATAAAATAATTGAAAACTGTTCAATTAACATTGTTAAAAACACAGTAAGTTTAAATTTCAGGCAAGTACTTGATTTACATCACACATCAAACCAAATATTAACATCAAAGTTTTTTTGTCCCCAAAGGACAGACCAATGAAGCATAAACTTTTTATTTTACCAGCCAGTCTGTTGCTGCAGGTTAATATCTCCAAGGTCCACAAAAACTGCATTGGGACTACCCGTGGCCCGGGGAAGGGGCCAGGAGCAGGAGGGGCCAGCTCAGGCTGTCCGCAGGGAGGACAAATAGCAGACATGTCTCTAGAGTCTATTACTCAGGCACCAGCCAAACTTCCTCTTCAGCCCGAGAACGCATTTCTGTCTCAGTTTAACGGCAAGGAGATGCACATAATCCTGTGGTGAGCATGTCCTGGGTTTCCGTCTGTGTGAGCTGGGTTGGATATTTGTAAATGGAGGCATTGCTCAAGGTCAAGGTGAATTAAGCTCTGTATAGAAAATGAAGCTGCTTTGCCCCAGTTGCTGTGGCCAGTGGATTGATTGCAAGCCTGTGAACCAAAGGGTCACTGGTTCGATTCCCAGCCAGGGCACATGCCTGGGTTGTAGGCCTGGTCCCCAATAGGGGGTGCATGAGAGGCAACCACACAATGATGTGTCTCTCCCTGTTTCTTCCTCTTTCACCTCTCTCTAAAAAAGAGAGAGAGAAAAAAATGAAGCCACTCCTATCTCTGTGAGTGGCATGTGAGCTGCTTCCTAGCATCCAGGAGCTTCTAGATGCTGCCAGTTCCTCACGCACAGCTCAGCTGCATGGGAAGCGTAGAAGTCTTTGTGAACAATTTTTTCTGTGGGGGAACTTAGGACAGATGTCCAGTGAATTTTTTTATTTCCCCACTCACTAGCAAAAACTGTGCATCTACAGGCCTGGTCAGGTAGCTCAGTTGGTTAGAGCATCATCTCAATACAGCAAGGTTGTGGGTTCGATCCCCAGTCAGGGCACATACAAGAAGCAACCAGTGAATGCATTAAGTGGAACAGCACATCAGTGGTTCTTTCTGTCTCTCCCTTCCTCTCTAAAATCAATAGATAAAAATAAAAATAAATTATGTATCTACACATACACTTAAGACACATATACATGTCCACTTTCAAGAAAAATTTCTTGCCTATAACGACAGACTCCCAGAACCCAGCCATCCCCAGGCTGGGACAGTCTAGTGACTGCACGGGCCTGGTACAGCGACACGTAGGGGCTTCTGCGCTGTCTCACAAAGGGAGAGGGCAGGGGAGGGGGGTGGCCACTCACGGGAGGCTTGCTTTCTGTCCACTGTTAGGTCCAGGCTCTGTGGGCACAGTGCTGTCAACATAAGAAACGTCCGAATCTCAAACTGACAACAGTTGCCAGGAAGCCAAGCTTCAACAGATCGAGAAAATGCTCCAGAAAATGGCAGTGTTGTACCTTATTTTATTTTTTTAAGATTTTATTATTTTTAGAGAGAGGGAAAGGGGGAGGGAAAGAGAGGGAGAGGAACATCAATGTGTGGCTGACTGATGCGGCCCCCACTGCGGATGAGGCCACAACCCAGGCGTGTGCCCCGGCTGGGAAACAAACTGGTGACCCCTGGTTCACAGCCCACACTCAATGCACTGAGTTACACCAGCCAGCACTGTACCATATTTTATACATTAGAATCAAAACAAAAGAAGTAAGTAGGCTGCATGAAATCCACTGGTTAGAAATTAGGGAGGGGGGCGAAAGCAGACAGTCTGGGCTGGGGAGGAGGGGACCTCTAGCACTGGACAAAGAGTGCAATGACAGACATGTACCTCTTTTACACAGCTGTGGACAGGATAGGTGACACTCAACAATGAACACGGTAACATTAACAAAGAGGGGATTAACCCTGGGAGGTGTAGCTCAGTGGATGTAGCGCAGGCCTACGAAGGGCTGCTTCACAGCGGGAGGTTCATGAGGGGCAACCAAACATTGATGTTTTTCTCCCTTTCTCCTGCCCTTCCCCTCTCTCTAAAAATAAATAAAATCTTCATAAAAAATAGTGAGCCTTGGCTGGTGTAGCTCAGTGGATTGAGCACGGGCCTGCAAACAAAACAACTGTGGTTCGATTCCCAGTCAGGGCACATGCCTGGGTTGCAGGCCAGTTCCCAACAGGGGACGCACAAGAAGCACATTGATATTTCTCTCCCTCTCTCCTCTAAAGATAAATAAAATATTTTAAAATGTTTAAAAAATACTAATGATGAGAGGATTTGTGGTCTCCCTCTGGTGTGAGGTACCTCAGGAAAAGGGAAATTACTTTGACATTCCAAAGGTGACATTCCAAAGGTGGCTTATCTTAGGTGCAAACACAGCAGACAGGCTTCATTAGGTGAAGACTGACCTTTGCCAGGGCAGATTCCAGGCCAGGGTGTGACCACCCTCCGCAACCTGCTTTTAGTCACTAACTTTTCATATCTGACCATCCTGTGTGGTCACTTTTGGTCTCTGAGTTTGCAAAGATGCCACAGTGGCCTCTGCTGAGCTGATCAGGCACGTGGCCCCTCTCCGTCCCCATGTGGTGGGCGACTAGATGGTCCCAGTCCACTGTGGTGAGAAAGGGTGACCTGCAGCACAGGCCTGGGTGCGGCACAGCCGGGGGCAGTGAGCAGGGAGGGGCCCAGGAAGGCGGCAGCAGGGCGGTGCGCCCGGTGCCCAGGAGGGGCCCAGCCCTGTTCCCAGCAGCAAAGGCGTCACTCGGCTGAGGGGCCAAGCCTGTGACACAGGAAAGCGGCCAGGGTCTGTGCGGCCCATTTGTGATGCTGGCCCACGACATGGGTCTCCCAGAGGAAAGTTCTAAGGCCCTCACTGCATGAAAGAAACAGGGTCCCTATGAAGAGAGGCCGCGACACTGGCGACCTGTGCAGCGTGAGTGCAGTAGGAGTCCCGTCCCACACCTGGCTGCAAAGTCCTGGCCTCCCCGAGGGCCCAGGTGCCAGAGCTCAGGACGGTGACTGCAGACACTGTGTCACTGGGCCCACACTTGCAGAACTTGCTGACAATGATGTCTCATTCTCATCAGCTCCCGCAATTCCACAGCATGTCACTGGAAGCCACTAGGACACATCTGCCACCACCCAAGGGCAGTCACCACTCCAGCCTCTGCTGGACACCAGCAGAGCAGAGGCCACTCAGGCTGGAGGCCCCAGGCAGCAGCGCCCCATCCAGCATGCACCATGCAGCCGGCAACCGCCACTCCGTACACGTGGGCACATCGGGGGAAGGTTCCGTTCGCCACCGCAGGACACAGGAGGGGAGGCGGGCTTTCCCCAGGCACCCTCACTGTGCCAGTTCCAACCTAGACCCAAACTGGATGCCTGCCAGGGACTCAGCTCCGGCAGGCCCCAGCCAAAGTTTATTCTGTTACCACATGAAACAAAAGCCTGGGCTCCTACCAGACAGCAGCCAAATTGGAGTGCAAATGCAGGCTGTGAGGAAACCTCGGGTTGCGCACTGTCCAGTACTGACGGACCACGTGCTGCTCCAGCCAGCTGCGGGCATCTGGCTCGTCTGCTGGAGGAAAGTTAACATGGTGGTTACGTTATGCAATGCGCTAACAACAAAACAGGATCACCTTTGCAACAGTATCTGAACTCGACTCCATTCAAATATTTAATAGGAAAAGGCTCTTTAAAGTAACATCTACTGGCCTGGCTGCTGTGGCTAATGACTGAATGCTGGCTTGTGAACCAGAGACCTGCCGGTTCGATTCCCAGTCAAGGCACATGCCTCAGTTGTGGACCAGGTCCAGTAGGGGGCTCTCGAGAGGCAGCCACACACTGATGTTTCTCTCCCTCATGTCCCCTATGTAAGGATAAATGAAATTTAAAAAAAAAAAAAACAGCTGACAATATTCATTTAAAACCATACGTTAAGGAGCGAGAAGTCTCAGCCCCCCAGCAGGCTCTCCAGCCCGGGGTCCCAGTGCTAGAAAGCCAGAAAGAGGAGACCCCGCCGAATGTGTGTGAAAACCAGCAGGGATTTCGTCCATCCAGGTGATTTTGTCCATCCAGGTGAAATGGGATCTGACAGAAACCAAGACGCCCACTTAAAGGGCCTGCACACAGACTCACCTGCTAAGATACAGAAGCAACCTCAGTGTCCACAGATAGCTGCCTAGATAAAGAAATGGTGTGCGTGTGCAATGGAATATTACTTGGGCATAAAAAGGACAAAAATCTTACCATTTTTGACAAAATAGATGTGCCTTACAGTTATTATGCTAAATGTAGTCAGTAATACAAATACCATATGATTTCACTTATATGTGAAATGAAGAAAACAAAATAAATGAACAGTACAGAAATACACTCATAGACACAGAGAAGAGACTGCTAGTCACCATAAGGGAAGGGGGTTGGGGAACTGGGTGAACAAGGCCAAAGGATTAAGTAGTAATTGGTAGTTACAAAATAGTCATGGGGATGTAAAGTACAGAGTAAGGAATATAGCCAGCAACACTGTAATAACGATGTATGGTTTCAGACCTGTTCAAGATTTACCAGTGGGGTTACTTTGTAGAGTATTTATGTATCTAACCATTATGCTCTACACCTGAAAATAATATTGAATATCAACTGTAATTGAAAATTTGACAAAAAAAATTTAAAACTAGTTCATACAATCCAATAATGTAGTAAAAAAAAAAAAGGGGGAATAACAGAATGGCCCTGACCAGTGTGGCTCAGTGGATTGAGCACTGGCCTGCAAACCAAATGGTCGCCGGTTCAATTCCCAGCCGGGGCACATGCCTGAGTTGTGGCCCAGGTCCCCAGGAGGGGGCGCATGAGAAGCGAGCACATATGGATGTTTCTCTCCCCTTCTTTCTCCCTCCCTTCCCCTTTCCCTAAAAATAAATAAATAAAATCTTTAAAAAAATAGAGTAAATGAAAAAATTATAGGGTCATCTTCCAAATAAAGAATATAATTAGGACTTCCACCAAGATGGAGGCATAGGTGGATGTGCGGTGCCTTCTCACACAACCAAGTTTAGAGACAACTAAATATTAGCAACAGAAAACACAGCCAGAACACGGAAAATTGAACTTTTCGGAAGTCCGTTCACAACAAATTCTTCAGCCTGACCGGTAAGGGGCGAAACCAGCGGCTGGTGAGGGGTTGCACAGGAGAACTCCAGTTGGACGGACCCAGGCGCGGAATCCAGACGCGCGAATCCAGACACGTGAATCCAGATGCACGGGCTGGACCTAGTGAGCGACCACGAAGGAGACAGCGGGGAAGCGGTGCTGTGTGTTGACTGTGGTCGCCCATTTGTGCGCGAGCGGACAGACGAGGGAGTGGGCGGTTGGACCAGGGCCCCAGTGGTCCCCGTGGCAAGTAGCGGTGGAGGGCGCCACCATTTCCCTGCTCTGACCCCGCCCCCACATACAGCGTCACAACCCAGCGACCTGGGAGTCCAAGGCACCGCTTCTCACACTTAAAGGGCCAGAACAGACCAAAAATGTCGCAAGATCTCAAAGCTCCAGAGCCCATAGATCTAAGCGATGAAGAAATAGCAAAACTCTCAGACGCACAGTTTAAAACACTGGTCATCAGGATGCTCACAGAACTGGTTGATTATAGCCACAAATTAGACAAATATATGAAGGTGAAACTAATTGAAATGAATGGAATTGCACAGCAATCCAATAGCGATGAAAAGGAAACTGGGACTCAAATCAATGGAGTGGAACAGAAGAAAGCAAATAATGGCCAAACAGAAAAGAGTCAGGAAGCAAGAATTCAAAGAAATGAGGAGAGTCCTAGGAACCTCCAGGACATCTTTAAACGCTCCAACATGCAAATTATAGGGGTACCAGAAGGGGGAAAGGCACAGCCACCAGTGGAAAACTTATTTGAACAAATAATAAAGGAGAATTTCCCCAATCTGGCAAAGGAAATAGACTTCCAGGAAATCCAGGAAGCTCAGAGAGTCCCAAAGAAGTTGGACCCAAGAAGGAACACACCAAGGCACATCATAATTACATTAGCCAAAATTAAAATGAAGGAGAGAATCCTAGAAGCAGCAAGAGCTAAGGGGACAGTCACCTACAAAGGAGTCCCCATCAGACTGTCAGCAGATTTCTCAAAAGAGACCTTACAGGCAAGAAGGGGCTGGAAAGAGGTATTCCAAGTCATGAAATCCAAAGACCTACAACCAAGATTGCTCTAGCCAGCAAAACTTTCATTTAGAATGGAAGGACAGATAAGGTGCTTCTCAGATAAGATCAAATTCAAGGAGTTCATCATCACCAAGCTCTTATTATATGAAATGTTAAAGGAACTTATCTAAGAAAAAAGAAGTTAAAGAAACATGAACAGTGAATGGACAACAAGCTCACAGTTATTAACAACCACACCTAAAATGAAAGCAAACTAAAAGGACAGCTAGATCAGGAGTGGAAACGTACAAATGAAGATCTCAAGGAGGGTTAGCAGCAGGGGAGTGGGAGGAGGAGATGGGGGCAGAAGGTACAGAAAATAAGTAGCATAGACAGTAGATAGAAAATAGATGGGGGGGCAAGAATAGCATGGGAAATATAGAATCTAAAAGACTTGAGACACATGGTCATAAACTAAAGGGGGGGTAATGGTGGGGAAGGGGGGTAGGGTGGAGGGGAATGAAGGGGGAATAGAACAACTGTAACAGCATAATCAATAAAAAAATTTTAAAAAAAGAATATAATTAGATAAAGTTTAATATTTATTTGTGATTACTGACTTCTAGGAATGAAATTGCCTCAATTTCATAAAGGCCACATGTGCAGAACCTGTACCCAAGCCCATCGCACTTCGTGGAGGAACTTCACGTGCAGATGACCTCTTAGGATGAAACCCGCCCCTTCACTGCCCCCGCTTCCTCTGCAGACCAGGGCACTGGCCAGATCACAGAGACTGTTAACAAGCCTTGAAGAAGACAACATATGAAAACCAGGAGGAGATAATACTGTCAATACTGACAAAAGATGCTGATCTACCCAAAAAACCTAATGGAATAAACAAACCTTTATAATTAAAATGAGAGTTCAGCAACAAAGTTGGATATAAGAACAATTTTTTAAAAAACAGTGGTCTACAGATGCAATAAAAATAAAAACGACCCCTGGCTGGTGTAGCTCAGTGGATTGAGTGCGGGCCTGCGAACCACAAGATCGTGGTTCGATTCCCAGTCAGGGCACATGTCTGGGTTGCAGGCCAGTCCCCTGCAGGCCAGTTCCCAGCAGGGGACGCACGAAAGGCAACCAAACATTGATGTTTCTCTCCCTCTCTCCTTCCCTTCCACTCTAAAGAAATAAAAAATAAAATCCCCCCCCCTTCCCCCTCCCCTCTAAAATAAAATCTTAAAAAAATAATAATAATAATAAAATAAAATCTTTAAAAAAAACCCAAAAAACAAAAACAAAAAACTGAATTTCCAAAAAAAAAACAACAAAAACGACACCATTCACAAAGCAACCTGCTAATATTGTACAAAGTAACAAACAGATACTCAAGATCTTTATAACAAAAATTTCTAAACTCCAGTAAGACATAAAGAATTAAAAGAAATGTAGGTATTTTCATAGGGATGATGTCAAATATCTCCTATGCCAAACCCATAAATTCAACACCATCCCAATAAAAATTATAGCTGGATTTTCAAAATGGAACTTATCATACTGGTTCTAAAATATCTAGGGAAGAAAGAGAGAGCTAGGCTGGTTTTGGAAAAGAGTAGAGGAGGTGAGGGAAAAGTTGCCTTCTATGTGCTGAGACATATTACCAAGCCACATGAAGAAAAGCAGTCACTCCTTGGCAACACACATTAAAGAAAGAGAATGGAAGGTACAGAAATAAATCCACATGTTGAAACAGGACAATGGCAGAAGCCCGGAGCAACATGGGAAGCAGGCACTGCTCAACAGATGTTGCTGGGAAAACTGGCCCAGGATACGAAGAAAGCAAGCAGGACCTTTAACCTCACTCTGTGCGTAGCAGTGCGCCTGCTGGGCGCTGAGGACCTAACCCTAGGCTGTTAAAAAAAAGCAAATAGAATGTTTTTGTAAACAAAATTATCAAGACCCAAATAATAATCAACACCATGAAAAATTCACAGGTTTGAAATCTTCAAAAATGACATCAAAGGGTATCCTGCAAAATATTAATACTCAGGTGACTAAGAAAAGGTAATCACAATGTCTAAAACCTAGGTAATATATCTAGATATCCAAACAAGTCTGAAGACTGAGGTTGGGCAGAAAGCAAAAGGCAAAAAGCAAGCAAAGCGGTCAATATGTTGTAACGGGTCACAGGGACCACTAACAGAACGTGCGGTTGCAAAGGGCCGAATCCTCCACAACGGCTGTGGGGAGCAGAGCAAATGTTCACGGGGCGATGCAAGCGGATTTCGCCCAGACCAGGACTTCACCTGGTCTCTTCTATGCAGAGAACAGGCCCAAGGTTCCACGCTGCATCACCCCTGCCTGCAACCTAAAACCAGAGCCTGCCGACCACTGCAACGTGTTGCACAAGCAATGAACGCATGAGAACACAGGCACTGGTGCCTGCAACTGGGGATGCGGCGAACACAAAAGGCCCGCGGAGAGGAAATCAATGCAAGGCCCTGAACACCCCAATGTCAGTGCTGGGCTGTGCGAGGATGATGCCACACGTGGCCCCAAAGGTCCACATCAAGAAGTAGAACAGAAGAAAAGGAAAAAGGAGACCAGATCATCAGGATGCTAAAATCAGCTTCATTGACGCTATGTCCACTTGGCGAGGTTCAAGTCCACTGCATAGGGCCTGGTCATCAACCCCAGCAGCTGGGGTGCATGTCACGGCTGTGTGGCCATGGGAAAACACTGTAACCAGGCCTTCTTTCCTTATGTACAAAATGAGAAGTGGACTCAATGACCTAATCTATCAGGTTGCTTACAGCTCTTTCTAGATTCTACCAATTCATAGTTCTTCACTACAAACTGAAAAGGCAGACATCTAAATTGAAAATTGAATGGTATAGATCTTTTCCTTTTAGTTACCAACCTCAGCAAAGGCAATCCTTCTCCAACAAAAAAACAAAACTAAAACAGTCCTGGCTGGCGTGGCTCAGTGGACTGAGTGTCATCCCACAAACAGAAAGGTCGCCAGTTCGATTCCCAGTCAGGGCACATGCCTTGGACTGGGTTGCAGGCCAGATACCTGGCTGACAGCATGTGAGGGCAACCTAGCAATGTGTCTCTCCCTCCCCCTCTCTAAAATAAAAAAAAAATCTTTAAAAAAACCACCAACAACAGATGCGAGCATCCATGACCACAGTACCTTTCCAGCCAGCACGCGGCCCTGGTTTTCTGTGCTGATCCTGCTCTTCTAAAGGTGTCCGATCCACCTGAATCCCAGAGTCCTCTCTGCTCAAGGGCTGCTGATCATCTTCGTCCTCACTTTCTTCAGACCAGTTCTGGTTAGAAGAGGAAATACACCAGAAGCTATTTATAGTAAGAGATCAGGAAAATTTCAGAAGAAAAGCAGTCAACTATACCGAATGAAACTTCTTCTGAGTATCTGGAAAGTCACCATACAGGATGAGATTATTCCTGGTGGGAGAAATCCCAACACTCACAGCTCCTCAAAGGATACTTTAAGTATATGCATTCTGTTCAGCTCCCCAATACTAATGCTTTGATGTGCGACCTTAATAAATCTTCCATAAGAAACTATGCTGGCCTTGGCTGGCGTGGCTAGTGGATTGAGAGCTGGCCTGCAAACCAAAGAGTGCCCAGTTCGATTTCCACTCAGGGCAAATGCCTGGGTTGCGGGCCAGGTCCCCAGCAGGGGGAGTGTGAGAGACAAGCACAGACTGATGTTTCTCTCTATCTCCCTCCCTTCCCCTCTCTCTAAAAATAAATAAGTAAATAAATAAATAAAGTCTTTTTAAAAAGTTACTCTGTTCAGTGAACAATGTTTCTATTTCAGCCGACTTGACTTGCTGCAGGACAGAGGACACACAGAAGTCATCTACATCACTTGGAATATATATTTTTTCAATAGCAAAACTACTGCCACTTACCGGTGTGTCTGCATTTGGACTAAGGTCAATCTCTTCACCTTCCATCAAGTATTTGCCCCAGTCAAAATCGTCTTTCTTTTCTAAAATGTAACAGAAGAATCTCATCGGCGTTACCAACTATGTGTGAATATATGCAAAACTGTAAGAAATAAGCTGCACTCAAAATAAGTGCAGCTTATTTCCAACACTCAAAATAAGCTGCACTTGGGATATGATTCCAATATACTTTGAATTTCTTTATCTTCAAATGTAAGTTTTCTTTGCATATGAGTATCATCAAAAGTAGTGCAACTTCCAAAGCCAGAATTTATATTTTAAATGAAAATTTGCAATTGCAAGTGTATGCAAGGCAACAGAAATATTTTAGTTTCATAGTTTTTACAAGGTTTTATAAAATTTCAATGTCTAATGATTAAGCAGTGAAACTAAGTTCTCTTTTATTTTGCACACTAAGGCATCTGATAACATACCCACTTCTTTTTCTCTCGGTGTTTCCACATAACTGCAGTTTGAAGGAGAATCAGACAGGCAAAGAAGAAGGGACAGGATGGAGTAGTGCGCATCTGTCTTGAAAACAAAAGTAAAGAACGTGAGCCACTGAGGTTGCTAAGAGCTTTTAAGACTAGTTTGGGTAAAGAAAGGGTAATCCTTGGCTGGTGCAGCTCAATGGATTGAGCACGGGCCTGAGAACCAAAGGGTCACTGGTTAGATTTCCAGTCAGGACACATGTCTGCGTTGCAGGTCAGGTCCCCAGTAGGGGCCATGTAAGAAGCAACCACACACTGATGCTTCTCTTCCTCTCTTTCTCCCTTCCCTCCCCTCTCTCTAAAAATGAATAAATAAAATATTTTTAAAATAAAATAAAAATTAAGAAACAACACTAAAGATAGCCAGATAGTGCTATTATACATGCCAATCTCAGGTCTCAATTTTCCTAGTAGGCTGGGGCTGAAATGATTAACCAAGAGCTTTTTCATTCTCCTCAAGCCTGAGCTACAATCTGAGTGTTGCAGATTTCAGGCAACACTTAGGTCAGTTTCCAGGGTATTCTGCTCTAGCCAGCGAACATACTAAGAGAATGAACTAAGAGAATGAACAATGAATGTTTCACTAGAGAATGAACAATGAACGTTTCACTGGCAGAAACGAGCTGTCAACAGTCAGACTGGAAATGGTAAAATTCACAAGAGATCTCACCACTTTATAATGCCTACCTTTCTCTCCTTTGTGCTCGGAAGTGACGCATTGAGAAATTCCTCAGTTAATCTCTTCCAACTAGCAGCTTTACCGAGATCGGAATGAATGATGAATTTTTCATAAATTCTAAAATATATTTTTGAAAGTCAACGGACGGTCATAAAGTTATATGAATGAAAAGATCTACATGTACAGACATATATATATGAAATCAACTTACCCTTCTATCGTCTTTTCTACTTTGTGACTGTTCACATCCAAGAAACGATGGAATCTAGAAGATAAAATGCAATTCTTACATCAACCCTGTCACCTCGATAAGCAGATGAGCATCACTGACCTCCGTATCCCAGACACACCCTACACTCGGTGACACAAACAAGCACACCTTTGTTGCTGTATCCCCTCCCCATGCAGGGAACAACCTCGACATCTGAGAGGGCTCAGGCTCCTTCCAGTAGGACACAGGTCCTCGTGAGCCGCCCCACCCTGTCCTCTGGCTCCTCTGTCTTCCCACAATGCCCTGTGTCTGAGCCCAACACAGCAAATCCTGTATCGGGGTACCTAATCTTTTTATGCTATAGGGAGCCCAGTGAAGGTAAGACCCCCTCTCAGAATTTTTTAAAAGATTTTATTTATATATTTTCAGAGAGAGGGGAGGGGAGAAAGAGAGGGACAGAAACATCAATGTGCAAGAGAAACATCATTTGGTTGCCTCTTGCACACCCCCAACCAGGGGCCTGCCAGGGGCTTGCCCTGACTGGGAATCATGCTGATGACCCTTCTGTTCACAGGCCAGTGCTCAGTACGCTGAGTCATGAGTCACACCGGCCAGGGCAGAATGATTTTTAAACTGCAAAATGAAATATACAAAGGTAACTGAAAATAGTGATATACAGTTGTGAAGTGTTCCTAAAAGTGTGTGATACAATGAGACATTCCCTTTTTTTCTTTAATGCTCACCCAAGGACATTTTTTCATTGAATTCAGGAAGGGGGAGTGGGGGAGAGACAGACAGACAGACACTACACATACCAATTGGTTATCTCTTGTATGTGTCCCGACCAGGGACTGAACCCAGAACCTAATGGGGGATGGAACCCACCGACCCTCTGGTGTATCAGACGATGCTCCAACCAACTGAACCACACTGGCCAGGGCAAGGCATTTCTTTATTAAAGTATGAAGGAACAAGGTCTAGCAGTGGGTCCATACCTAACGTTAAAGTGACATAAACAATATGTAGATAAACCTACAACTAAAATAAGATGTTAAATATGTGATTCCTACTGGTCATACACTCATAGGTAAGCTAATATTGCTTGTTGCTTTCACTCATAATTGAAAGAAATGTTAGTTTTTAGTTAGAGGTAGGTGTAAATTTTTTCTCATCCACATTTGTAACACACGAATTCTATCTTCAGGTCCACGTGTTAAGAAGGCCTATTCCGGCCCCAGCTGGTGTGGTTCAGTGGATTGACCGCCAGCCTGCAAACCAAAGGGTAGCTGGTTCAATTCTCACTCAGGGCACCTGCCTAACTTGCTGGCCAAATCCCCAGTAGGGGGGCGCCTGAGACACAAGCACACACTGATGTTTCACTCTCCCTCCCTCCATTCCTCTCTCTAAAAATAAATAAATAAAAATCCTTTAAAAAAAAAGGAAGGCCTATTCTAGATCATATGTGATTAGCTTCGGTTTCTCTCTCCTTTAAGGACAAAGACTATCTCACCTATTTCTGAATTTCTAAGGCTTATAACATGGCTGCCATTTTTAAAAACCAAAAAAAAATTGTTCATTTTTCTGATGGATTAAAGGTTCATAAAATTACAGTAGAGCACAATGACTCTTGTCCATGTTTCACTATCAGAGCCAACAATCTGTATTTAAAAGAAGTCAATTATACTACCAGATAACATTAATTCTATCCTCTAAATGTCCGATGGGAACAGTACTTTAACTATTATAATGTATTTAGTTTCTCAATGTGTAGAAGGAGATGGTAATTTTCAGTGTCTTTCCAAACCCTGAAATGATGTCTGTCCACTTCCTGCCATTTAGAAAGGTCAATAGAGAAATTATTTGGGGTACAGCAGTTAAATTTCTGTCTTTGCAGAGCTCTTTACAATAGCCAAGCTATAAAAGCGACCCAAATGCCCACTAATAGATGACTGAGGAAAAAAGATGTGGTACAGACACACAGTGGACTATGACTCAGCCATAAAACAGAATGAAATCTTGCCCTGGCTGGGTAACTCAGTTTGTTAGAGCACCTTCCTGGTCATGCCCAGGTTTTGGGTTCAATCCCCTGTTAGGGCACGTACAAGAAGCAACCAATGAATAATTGATAAGTGTAACACCAAATTGGTGTTTCTTTCTTTTCCCTTCTCTCTCTCTCTCTCTAAAATATAAATAAAATAAAATTTTTTTCAAAAATTAAATCTTACCACTTGACAACAGGGATGGACATGGAAGGTATCATGCAAAGTAAAAAAGTCAGTCAGAGAAAAACCAATGCCATACCATTTCACTTATATGTGGAACCTAAAGAACAAAATAAACACACAAAACAGAAATAAACTCACAGACACAGAAAAAGCTGATGTCTGCCAGAGGGGACAGGGTGGGGAGACTGGGTGACAAAGGTGAGGGATTAAGCAGCAAAACTGACAGTTACAAAAGTCACAGGGATGTAAAGTACAGCATAGGAAATAGAGTCAATAATATTGTAATATCTGCACATGGTGCCAGGTGGGTGCTAAACGTATAGGAAGGTCACTGCTTAAATTATATAAATATCTAACCTCTACGCCAAGGGTGTCAAGCTCATTTTCACAGGGAGCCACACCAGCCTTGTGGTTGCCTTCAAAGGGCTGAATGTAATTTCAACTCCTTAACAGTTCAGGAGTAGTTACATTTATAAAGTCCTAAAATTATTTCGGCCCTTTGAAGTCAACTGCAAGGCTGATGTGGCCCCCAGTGAAAATGAATTTGACACCCCTGCACTATGCTGTACAATTGAAATTAATACAAAATAATATTGAATGTCAACTGTAACAGAAAAATAAAAATAAAGGTGGAGGTAGAAGAGGGAACTGGGGGACAAGTGGAGATCGAAGGAGACTCGACTTGGGGTGGTGAACACATACAGTAGACAGATGATGTATTGTAGAAGCCTATATAATTTTATTAACCAATGTCAGCCCAACTAAGTGAATTATAAAAAAATAAAAAGAAAATCTTAAAAAGGAAGCCCTGGGTGGTATAGCTCAGTGGATTGAGTGGTGGCCTGCAAAAACCAAAGGCTTGTTGGTTCAATTTCCCATCTGGGCACACGTCTGAGTTGTGCGCCAGGTCCCCAGTAGGCGGCACGCGAGAGACAACCATACGTGGATGTCTCCCTCCCTCTTTCTCCATCCCTTCCCCTGTCTAAAAATAAATAAGTAAAATCTTAAAAAAAAAAAAAAAAAACAGAGCAAATCTTAAAAAGGAAAAATAATTCATTCAATCGGTAGGAAAAGCATCCTTTTATCTGACCCATTCACACATTGTAGTATTTATGTTACACCTAAAAACTGAGTTTATTATTTCAGAAACTTGGCGGGCTTTTACCTCAGTGGCTAGTCTTTGCAAACCAAGTAGGCACTTTATATATTATCATTAAGGCTGAAACTCAAGATTACTCATTTGGAAAAACTGTTTAGTCCTCAAGATTTCTACTGAAATTACACGGTTAGAGTATTAAGGCCAACTAACATACTTTTAGTAGTAAAATTCCATTACAGGTAATTAACAGTGCTGTCTAATTTTCATCGTCCATAAATAAAAATAGGAGCTCCCACTTCACCTAAGTATCTAACTACGTACCGTCAATCTCGGGATTGCACTAGAGGTAATATGGGCAGCTTCGTTACTACATGGCAGTAACTGTTCCAGATGTTGGAATGAGAAATGACCCAAACAAATCCCCATGGTGGGACGGGCCTCCGGGCTGGAGTGAGGGGCAGGAGGCGGCAGTCCGCCACACACAAGTGACCCTCGTGTCGTGCTCAACCCTCCGCGGAAGTAAAAAGGAGACCCAGGAGTGAACGGCCTGGAGCGACCCCAGCGGGGACACGGCGCCCTGATATCGCCGTTTTAAACCAGGCGCGACCATTACTTTGCCCTAAACCTCACTGGCCCATCCATTCAAAAGCGCGTGCTGCGTTGTGTGCGGCACTGGGTGCAGCGGGGGACGCCTACAGGGCAGACTCAGGTCCCGCAAGACCTGCAGCCCGTCTCGACAGGCTTGTGTCGCCGGCGACCGGGCCCCGCGGGCACCAGTCCGACCCTGGTGCTGACCCTGTGCTGACCCTGCCCGACCCCTTCCTGGCCCCGCCCACCGCCACACCTCACACCTGAAGTTGGACCAGGCGAAGTTCAGACAGAGCTGGAAATTGGGGTCCGCCTCATCCCGGAGGCCTGCCACGTGGCGCACGAGCTCCCGCACATCGCGCTCCTCTTGCCGGTCCAGCCGGCTCCAGGTTGGGCCCAGCCGCGCCATGTTTCCCCGCCTCCCGGGCGCCAAGTCTGAGCCACTCTCGCGAGAGTTCGCGCCCCCGTCTGCATTGCGCGTGAGGACGAAGAGGAGGCAGTTCTCGCAAGAACTCGAGCTCCCGCCACCCTGAGGCGAGAGTCGAATCTGGTTGGTGGGTGCGGTGTGCGTTTTCCAGTCTTCCGTGGGTAGCTTTAGGAGTTAGGTGGTTTTGTACATCGGAATAAAACCTTGGTTGATGATTTTAGCTTCTGATGTTTTCAGAGCAGCCGGTTAGTTGTCATTCAGTGTTCCTATGTGCACCTGCCTTTTCAGGTACCAGAATAGAGCAGTTGTCCGTCCTTCTCTAAGCTTGTTCGTCCTTCAGAAGGTGGTCTCTAGTTATCTCTCAGTTTACCGTGTCTGTCTGCACGGTCCATGCGGCGTGGTCTGCACTGCAGCGGTTGTCAGCAACTCGGGAGGACTTGATTTCCCCCCAGGAGACAAACCTGCCTCTTCGTTCCTGATTAAAACGCTACCTCTAACCTGTTTCTTTTAAGGTTTTAAATTTTTTATTTTGATTTTATTTATTTATTTATTTATTTTTAGAGAGAGGAAGGGAGGGAGGAAGAGAGAGAGAAACATCAAAGCGTGGTTGCCTCTTGCGCCTCCCTCCCCACCGACCGGGGACCTGGCGTACAACCCAGGCCAATGGCCTGACTGGGAATCCAAACCTGGCCCCTTCGGTTCATAGGCCAGCACTCAATCCACTGAGCCACACCAGCCAGGCTCTAACCTGTTTCTGTTTAATATTGCTCATAACCATTCAGAAGCTTGTTACATAGACTTCTATAGTTTTTCTTTTACGGATCTTTTAGGTTTTCCTGTGGTTTATTACATTGCATTCCTATAGTTATGGAATGTTGTGAATTACAGCATCTGGAAAGTGAAAGAAGAGACAGGGATACTGGACCAGGTTATACTAAATGTGGGCTGCTGACAAAAAAACCACTCACCTTCGTGAACCTAGGTCAGAGTTGTGAATCAGTGCCACTGGGTGGTCACCATATCCCACGTGTGTGAACTTAGTGACTCTTATCTGTAACCAATCAAAAGCAGTAACTATTTCCTCCTGCAGACTGTGCTATCATAGAAGAGCCCTGCTTCACCTCTGCCCATTACCTGTAGCCAATCTAAGCTCTTCCAAAACACCTCACAGCTTTCTTTCCAGTACTTGTACTTGACGTATAGAACAGGCTAATAGACATGCAAAGATGCTCAACGTCACTAACGATCATGGAAATGCAAATGAAAACCACAATGAGATATCACCTCCCACCTGTCAGAATGGCCATCATCAATAAATCAACAAACAAGTGCTGGTGAAGAGATGGAGAAAAGGGAACTCTAGCGAACTGTTGGTGGGAACGCAGACTGGTGCAGCCACTTTAGAAAACAAAGAGTTACCACAAAAAATTAAAAACTGAGCTGCCTTATGACCCAGTAATTTCACTTCTGGGACTATGTGGGGGATGGTGAAGGCTGGTGTTATAGCCAAGGTTGAGGGCTTAACAAAGCCGCACTTGACTGTTTGCATCTCCAAGTCAGATCAAGCCAGCAGCCAACACAGCCAGAACCTGCGGGGATAGAGAATGAGATAATGGCAAGCTTCAACTGTGTGCACTGTAACTTTTGCAGGAAATTTATGTATCAGTTAGATAGCCTGGGAACTGAACAATCCATGCCTGCAGCGTTTCCCCAAGTTTAGAAAACATCCTTGAGTTGTAGCTAACCAACCCTATAAAATAAACGCGGAGACTGTGTTCGTGGTTCATCGTCTCTCCATCAGAGGACAGTATCCCACCCGGCCCCTGTTTTTCCTTAAACTGTTGTGTCTTTCTTAATCTCCCATGGCCCCCACTCAGGGACCCCAACTCCATGCTGGTTGCGGCAGTAATATATCTGAAGAAACCTGAAACACTAATTTGAAAGAGTGTGTTCACCCATATGTTCACTGCAGCGTGACTTACGGTAGCTAAAATTTTGGAAGCTGCCTAAGTGCCATCAGTTGGAAAGTCGATGAAACAGCTGAGGTACATTCACACAATGGAATACTACTCAGCTGTTAAAAAGAAGGATATCTTACCTTTTGCAACAGCATGGATGGACATGGACAGTATTATGTTAAGTCAAATAAGCCAGTGGCAGAAAGACAAACACAATAGATTTCACTTATATGAGTGGGGGACTCCCAAAATCCCAGAATTTATTTATTAAAAAATTGTGCATTTGTTCTTACATGTTTAAACCTCAGTTACCTTCAGGGTACTCTCCATTTGATGCAATACACCTATGGAGGCTTTTTTCTGTGGCTCAAAACAGTTTTTGAACTCATTGATCTTGTTGCCTTTTAGTGCTCCTGTTATTTTTCATTTCATCTCTTCCACATCGGGAAAACATTTCCCTCTGAGGACTTTTTTCATTTAGGGAAACAAACAAAAAAGTTGCTTGGGGAGAGATTCAGTGATAAAGGAGGATGAGGCACAGGGGTCAGGCCATTTTTTATCAAAAGCTGCTGAACACTCAGTGCGTTGTGGGCAGGTACGCTCCGTAAATCACCCATTGTGAAATGGCCATGACCACCATGCCCCACCTTCCCTTCAAATATTCTACTGAAGCCACACACAGCCTCTCACAACAATACCAGCTGCTACACTGATACAAATGGATTCTAAAACAGCTGGGGTGGGGGGCAATCCTGTATTACAAGGGGCCTGCCCTATGGAAGATAACTCTGAATTTTTTGATCCCCCCCCTTGTATGTGGAATCTATTAAACAAAATAACCAACAAAATAGAAAGAGACTTACTTATAGCTGTCACAGGGGCTAGGGTAGGTGAGATGGTTGAAAAGGAGAAGAGATTAAGAAAAAAACTCCCCTGGCTGACAACACCATGGTCATTACCAGAAGGAAGTGGGGGTGGGGAGAGGCAAGAGCAGGTAAAGGGGGGGATAAATGGTGATAGAAAGACACATGACTTTTGGGTGGTGAAAATACAATATACAGGTGATGTAGGACAGAGTCAGTCACCTGAAACCTATGTAATTTCATTAACCTTGTAACCCCTACATGTTCCATTTTTCAAAAAAGAATGAAAGTGCCCTGGCTGGTGTAGCTCAGTGGATTGAGCACAGGCCTGTGAACCAAAAGATCACAGTTCAATTCCCAGTCAGGGCACATGCCTGGGTTGCAGGCCAGTTCCCAGCAGGGGACGCATGAGAAGCAACCATACATTGATATTTCTCTCCTCTCTCCTTCCCTTCCCTTCTAAAGATAAATAAATAAATAATTTTTAAAAAGAATGAAAGAAAAGCCCTTCAACTCCAGGAAGGCCCACATGCAGCCTCCCCTGACCCCCCACCCCGTCCTGCTGCTGGGCATTTATACTTTACACCCCACAACCGTGTCTTTTTTTCTGGCCAGCACACGACTCCATAAACTTTCTTTTAAGAAGACTTCCAACCGTGCAAGTGAAGCTTTTTGTTTCACAAGCCGCCAATCTTTGGATAGGCGTGAGGGTGCTCCCCAGAAACCGGGGCCGGGTCTTTTTTTATGTGTAATTTTGCCAGCCTCATGGCACTGATGGATTCCTGATCCCAAGGTGGGGTCCCACGTGGCACTAGTTCCCCTGTCTGGGGTCTGTGGGCGGAGGGAGAGGCCAGGGCAGGAGGCTCCATCTGCAACCAGGATCCCCTGGTGGTTACAAATACCTCACCGCTCCCGAGACCAGGTTCCTCGAAAGCACGAACCCCACCCCAGCGGGGGCCTCAGGACTTCGGTTTGAGGAAGGGGCTGAGAGGAGCCGGGCTCAGGTTTGCCCACCCAGCATGTTCCTCGTTCTCCAGGTGCCCTACCTGGTGGGGCATATTCATGGAGCCAATTTTGCTGGGTTTTCTGAACTCATAGAGACTTTCCCTCTGACTGGGTAGAGGGCTGAAGCTGTGTCGTGAGGCCTTGTCTGTCTCCACGAGGAAATGAGGCGGGGATGGACCTGCTGGCTAAGATGTGCCCTTCCTCTCCCCTGCAGGTCGGGGTCGGGAACCAGCTCCATCAGAGCTTCTTGGTTTTGTCAGTTAGTGACCTGGACTTTGTTGGGGGAGGTGGTCCCTGTGCTGATTCTCTGTAACCGGAGCCAAGTGTTTTGGGGCAAGCAAGAGGCAGTGCCTTCTTGAGAGAGGATGTGAGTCCAAATGCTGAAGAGAAACATGTTTTGTACTGAAGGCTGAACGTGTAGTTGAAAAGCCACACAGTCGCGGTCTGTGGGTGGTGACTGTGGCATCAACAGGAAGCCAGCCTCCCCTTTGTACTTGATCTTGACCCCTTCCACACACTGTGACAAAGAGGTAATTCAGAATACATGGTATTCAGGGCTGGTTCAGGGGCTGGGCTACATTCTCCACACCACGCAGAACCGTCCCCTATAATTTCTGTTAAGAAGAGGTAAGCCACCGAGAACATACTTGTAATACATCATTTCTCACAGTATTTATATCCAGAATACATAAGAACTCCTACAAGTTCACAAGTAAAAGACTGACAACCCAACGTAGAAATGGACAAAAGACTTGAGCCATTACTTCACAAAAGAGGATCGTGAGCCCTAGCCAGGTAGGTAAATTTCAATATCCCATTTATTTAAATGTATTAGTTAGTTCATATTAGGGAAAGGGGCAGAGAGAGAATTTCTGGTTTGTTGTTCTACATTATTGACGTATTCATTGGTTGAGTCTTGTATGTGACCTGAGGAGGGATTTGAACCGGCAACCTTGGCATATTGGGATGATGTTCTAGCCAATTTACCTACCCTTTCTCTAATATGAACTAATGAATACATTTCAATAAATGGGATATTGAAATGCCAGTAAACCTATTAAAAACTGCTAAACCCATAAGTATTTTGGGGAATACAAGCTAAAATCGCAATCCTACTAATCAGTTATCAAAATGACTCCAACAGACAATACCAAGTGCTGGTATGATGAGG